TCGCTGAGTTCGTCCAGCGCCGTCATGACGTGGACGACGGAGGCGCCGAAGTCGGGGATCTCTTCGTCAGGGTAGCGATTAAAGCAAAATTCTACATCGAAACTCTCGCGTAACTCGTGTTTCTTGAAGTCGCCACCCAGCCTGAGTAAAGTGAACGATAATTTATTAGGCCGAGGCACGGCTCTAAGGGGCATAAAAAATCTAATGCATCTACTACTGTATATATGCGCAAATTATCGTAAAATTCCCGTTGTTAAAAAGAAACTTATAGTGTCGTACATCGTCAGTTTACATAAGTACAAAAACTCGTTGGCATCCGGGCAGTACAAAAACTCGTTGAGGACTTTAGAGCCGTAGGGCTGGAGGTAAACCAGGGGAAGTGTGAACTGATCGTACTGAACCATTCGAGAGAGGAAGAGCTCGAGACTGGGGAGATGTTTGGGGGGGTGTTGCCAACACTAAAAGTTGTTCCCGCCCATAAGTCACTTTTACTGGGTGCCCCACTCCACGAGGAGGGCGTCTCCGCCGTTATCCGGGAGAAGCGGGAGGGCTTGGAGCTGTCTCTTATACANGTTTACATAAGTGTAATACGCGTATATTGTCTATATTCAGTAGTGGGCACCGTTCCGCTATTCCGCTAACCGTTAATTAGAGAAGCTAACTTTTTCCTTATCGGATTACCTTTTCATCTAACTTTGTAAACAATTAGCGGACCAATTAGTTTCCGCTAACTTTAGTTCCGCTAACTGGCGGTCCGATAAAAATGTTTAAAAATCTCTTCTGATTGAAAATTCAGGTGTTAATATTTAATGCTAGGTATCGTTAGCCGTGTGCCACAGTGATGGCTGACTACGTCAACATATGTACGTCAGCCAATCACGTCTTGTGTTACCGCTACATAATGTAGTAGCACAAGGCGTGATTGGTTGACGCAGCATCGAGAGGCTGATGTCATCAAGAGCAGAGAGGCTGATGTTCATCAAGGGCAGAGAGGCTGATGTTCATCAAGGGCAGAGAGGCTGATGTTCATCAAGGGCAGAGAGGCTGATGTTCATCAAGAGCAGAGAGGCTGATGTTCATCAAGGGCAGAGAGGCTTATGTTCATCAAGGGCAACAATCATCACCTCTAAGGGATAAAGGGCAAGGCTGAGCAAGAGCAGTTTGTAACCTTGAATTTACTTGCGTGTTTTTATTTCTCTATATTTTATATTCTTTTAATACTTTTTTACTCGTTTAATGAACTGTATGTTGAATGTCAACTACTGCTTAATTTCATTTGTTCATTTAATCATTATTAATTTAATCACGTACATCTTGATCATCATCTGATCTTGGCATGCTACACTACACCTTTTTGGAAAGCTCCTTGCCAATGCTGCAACATATTAAAAGTTCAGCTCTGTAGTTCTGTTTTTCAGACTTTCAGAGCCCCCAAAAATTAAGACGATGCTAAATTGATATACTAAAAGTTAGCGGTTAGCGGTAAATTCAGTTAAATTTTTCGGCAATTCATCGGTTTAGCGTTATAAAAGCTAACTTTTCGGTTAGCGGTTAACGGTTATCGAAAGATAACTTTTCGGTTAGCTGTGCCTACCATGTTACAAGATCATTTACATACTCACGTTTCTTGGTCTACGGCAACGTATCCTTGACCGTCCAGTCTATTGTACTTTTCCTTCACTGCCAGGGGCAGTTCAAAGAACTTGCCAGTGCTGCTGAACGCTTTCTCGATCTAGAATAAAATAATTTAATTAATGAATAAAAATGTTTACCTACAACATGGGGCTTCTAACTATCTACTTTTCTCCAATTAATCAATCTCAAGAAACGCTAGGTAATCTTCGTTAGAAGCTAGGGTTGTTGTTAGGGGAACGTTTCTCAAGTACAAATGAAATGGAATTCAAATCATGGTTTAATGTTTAATAAAAAACAGACTTTTAACAAGGAAATGTCGGTATTCAACGCTAGTTATACAATGGCGCTTCTTGTTTATTTATTTTCACCAAGTATATCAGGTTTAGATGAAAAGTTGAATCTTCACAAAACCTTACCAAAATTACCTTGTACCAGTAGATTATTTCTATTGAAATAAAACTCGTGTTATATCGAACAAACTGTTGAAATTTATTATCTAATTACGTCATTAATGTTTATACGCTTATCGTTTGTCTCGTGTTAGGAGACATAGTCGAAGCTCATTACATCAATCGTGATTATTATTACCTTAACCTTAACTCTGTGAAGACTTCCTGCGGCTCAAACCGTATTACTACTTGTGTTCAATCTTTCTTATCTATACCCTAATTTGAGTTTGTGCGAGTGTGTTCTCATTTTGTTTTGTTCCATATAAATGCACGTTTTAACTTCTGTGTTCGCTGGTTCAAGATCTTACTGTGCTGGCGTCACGCCAGTGGTTCAAACCCGTAGGGTTATTGGCTCCTTGGAGCGTCGGAGTTCAACCGATATATGTCACTAGCCGTAATGCTGTGAATTAACTTGCATGCTTGCATGCGTTTGTCTCTCTTAACATAACATAACATAGTGATCTCGGCGCTGAAGTGTAGGCCTGATGTGGCCTGTCGCCGATTCTTTTTCTTTTCGTGCCTTGTTCACAGAAGGTCTAAAATCTTGTCATTTGACCGGACCTTTTCATGACTGACGATAGTTTGAAGTAGCTGCTATAGACTTCCACCGGGTTCGATAAGGAGCTAGGCATTTCAAATCTGAACATATATTTTTCCATAGCTTTATCTAGTCTGTTCTTGACCGCGTTCATACTTGGAGCGCCAACGATGTCATCGGGGAGGCTGTTCCACATGTCGGTGATTCGAAGCGAGAAGAAATTTTGTCGCGTGGAGAAGTTGCAGCGCAGTTTTTTTAGCTTATAGCCGTGGCCCCTGGTGTTGGTTCTTGTTTCAAATTCTAGTAATCCTTCGGGGACCTTGTATAGACCATGAGTATACTTGTATACTTCAATGAGGTCCCCGCGCAGACGTCGATAACTGAGGCTTGGAAGCTTCATAATCTTCAATCTTTCTTCATAGGACTTGCCCTTCAAGCCTGGAATTATCCTTGTTGCACGTTTTTGAACATTCTCTAATAAATTTCTGTCCTTTTCAAATCTCGGTGACCACACAACGTTTCCAAACTCTAGATTCGGGCGCACGACAGCAACAAACAACTGCTTCATCGCTTCTGCATCTAGGAACTCGTATGAGCGTCTGATTAGTCCAAGAAGTTTGTTGGATGTGTTAGCTTGCGTTTCAACATGCTTAGAAAATTTCAGCTCCCTGTCGACATAAACTCCGAGATATTTTTCCCCATTAGACTGTTCAATCATTACTCTCTCGTTGTAACCATGTCTTCTCATACTGTAATCTTGCTGTTCATTGTTCTTCCCGAAGTGAAGTACTTTACACTTGTCAGCATTAAACCGCAGTTGCCACGTATCAGCCCAGTTAACTAAGCTGTCAAGATCATCTTGCAATTGCGCTTTATTTGACGCATCCTTCACTGTATTATAAACTTTTGTGTCGTCGGCATACATGGAGCACACGCTGGATACTACTTCTGGCAGATCATTTATAAAAGCAACGAACAAAATAGGCCCAAGAACGCTTCCTTCCTTCTTTCTTTAAGTACGAGCAAACACTCCTTATACTGTTTTCACTATTTTCTTTCTTATAGTTCTCTACATGAGAACTCTTGTCTAATATAGGATTCCTTAACGGAAACAAATAGGTTAGTTATTTTGATTATTTTGAAAGTGTTATCATTATTTTGATTTTACTTGAATCATACTGAAATCCATTACGTTACGACTTGAATTTGTTGTTTATAGGCTTAAACTGTTTATCTGTTTCATTCAGATAAGAATCCAATAATCGCCTCTACTTCTTCTTGGTCTTCTACCCTGCCGCGTCTGTTTATTTGAGCTGCTGCTTATCCTTAATTATTGTTACGTTCTGTTGCCATCGGTAATATGGTGAGAATTGGAGAAAGGGAGAGAGACGCTCAAACTTGAAACAGTGACTCATTCATTTGAATATCAAATATTATGCTCTCAACTTTTAATGTTCGAACTAAAATTTACATATGCGTATTCTACTGCAGTGCGTTCCACATCGAGCTTATCGTCTCCTCCTGGCTTCGTTCTGCGAACCACTCATTTTGCGGACCCACTTCAATAAAAGATTCAACGCTTTCTTTGTTCTTTAATTTCCACTTGCATCTAAATACCAATAAAACCAAAATGAAATATTTCTATGCTGTTAACAAATGAACTTGTAGCATTTATAGTCTGTTTCATTTCACTACTTTCTTTACTGTCAACTCTAGCATAATTTTATGTTATCAAAGATTTTAATGTGATTTTATGGTACATAAATTATTTGGTGATTATATATGATAATAACTCAGATAGTGGGAGGCAACGTATTCATGAATAATTTTTACAGTTTAGTGATTTTTACTAACGAGGAAGATATGAAAGTAAAAATGATAAAAATCCCTTCATTATTAGTTCACCTACGTTATCGAATACCCGTTATATCGGTATGGACTATGACTCATTATAATTGCGTACTTTCAGGGTAATTTATATATCACGATATAGTATAGGTCGTGCGGTAAGGGAATTGGATTAAATTTTATTATTTATGTTATAGATTTATACTGAATATGTGTAGTTGATTTATAATTAATTCAGTATTAGTATTGAAAGAACGTTTTAGAAGTACAGTAATCGAAGTCAGAGATAGCGGGTAGGAAAGAAATAGCGGTATGAACGTAGCCTTGGGGCTGTGTCACGTGTCTTGTTAAAAGGAGCTCAGTGAAAGGAAGATTGTTAAATGCCCGTTTACCAAGTCCAGGAAAAAGAACATGAACAATATCTCTCATGTGGGATTAATGTTCTTTATGGGAATTATGAGTAATAAAATATTTTAATGTGACCGTTCTTTGTTCAGCACAGAACCTGCAGTGGGCTACCACTATCCCACGATTCGATTATGAGCTATGCTATCAATATAACACGGCGTTATTTGATAGGTTCTATATGATAAGTTGTTTCTGAACCCAAACTGAAAGATAACCCGGCAGGTCAGCAAGGTTCAGCAGATAAGCGCTGGTGTAGTGGTTGACTCGACAGGGTTAACCACTTCAATTAATAGTGTCCACGATTAATGCGGTGGTTAATAGTTTAGTGGTTAATGGTTCCCACGTATAATGTAGTGGTTAATGTTAAAGGTTGTTAAAATTTCCAAAGCTTTATACGTGGAAACCTTATTGCATGCTTAACCCATGTTTCTCTGAATAATAGTAGCACGGCTGTCACGATGATACGAATCCTCTAAATATTTTGTGACGATATCTACTTCAGGTGGAGTATATACGTACAGTGGCAGGCAAAAGTATTGGATACATTACAGTTTTCTTTATATCTCAAGTTAAAGTGCAAGATTTTACCTAATATTTGGTCATTATATTGCTAGTGGTACTAGAAAAATTATATAGAATGGATAGTGAAAAGCAGTGTTTAGATTTTTTCAACAAATAGAGACATTAACCCACTCAGAAGTACTGGGTACATGTTCAAATAATATGCGTTTAAAAATTACTTTTTAAAGACAACACTTCTGAACAATCCAATATCTTGGATGTTACACATGTACAATGAATTTCTAATTTTATTTTCAAATATTTAAAAGAAAAATTATTTTTCAAAATTTTTTTATGATATCAAAATTTTGTAAATTTTCAAAATTATTTATTCTGTCAATTGATTCATGCATTGTCTCTGACTTTGCAATTGTGCAAAATTTCAGATCAATTGTACAGTTCAATTGTGTCATATATGGATTTTAAGATTTGTAGCAGACGAAATTATTTTTTAATTTCTTTTAATAATGAAAAAAAATGTTTTTTTTTAATTTATAAAATTATTTATTCTGTCAATTGAATCATGCATTGTCTCCAACTTTACGCAAGTGTGCCAAATTTCAGATCGATTGGACAGGTAGAAGTGTGTTAAATATCGATTATAAGATTTCTAGCAGACAGACAGACAGACAAACAAGCAAGAAGTGAAGTTAAAGAGGAGTCTTGTAAGAAAGTTACTGAGCTTATTACTATAATCTTAAACTGAACACAAACGATTTCTTCTAGTTAACGCGATCAAACAAGAGGAAACTTAAATATATTGTACCCTAGAATAAATAAAAATTACTATAGTCTTGAACTGAAAACAAGCAATTTCTGCTTGTGAACACGATCAAACGATAGGAGACTTGAATATAATATACCTTAGAATATATAAAAGATACTGAGCTTATTACTATAATCCTAAACTGAACATAAGCGATATTTTCTAGTTAACGCGATCAAACAATAGGAGACTTATATATAATATACCCTAGTATAAATACAAATTACTGGGCATATTACTAAAGTCTTGAACTGAACACAGGCAATTTCTGCTTGTGAACGCGATCAGACGATAGGAGACTTATATATATTATAACTTAGAATATAATAATATACGTTTAAAAATTACTTTTTAAAGACAACACTTCAAAAGAATCCAGTGTCTACAATCTTACAGATGTACAATGAATTTGTCATTTAATTTTCAAATATTAAAAAAATTAATTTTCAAATTTTTTAATATATAATTTTTTTTTAATATATAAATTTCTTCAAAGTTATTTATTCTATTAATTGATTCATACATTGCCTCTGACTTCACACAAGTGTGCAAAATTTCAGATCTATACCCTAGAATAAATAAAAAATTACTGGGCATATTACTATAGTCTTGAACTGAACACAAGCAATTTCTGCTTGTGAACACGGTCAATCGATAGGAGACTTAAATATATTATACCTTATATTATAAAAATGTTTCTGAGCTTATTACTATAATCCTAAACTGAACACAAACAATATCTTCTAATTAACGCTATCAAACGATAGGAAACTTAAATATATTATACCCTAGAATAAATAAAAAAGTTACCGGGAATATTACTATAGTCTTGAACTGAACACAAAAAATTTCTGCTTGTGAACACGATCAAACGCTTGCAGATTTAAATATATTATACCTTAGAATATAATAATATACGTTTAAAAATTACATTTAAAGACAACACTTATAAAGAATCCAGTGTCTCCAATGTTAAAGATGTACAATGAATTTCTCATTTCATTTTCGAATATTGAAAAAATTAATTTTTTAAAAAATTATTTATTCTATCAATTTATTCATGCATTGTCTGCGATTTCACACATGTGGGCAAAATTTTAGATCAATAGGACAGGTAAAAGTTGGTCAAGTATGTTATAAGATTTGTATGTGACAAAATTATTTTTCAAATTTTTTAATATCGAAAAAAAATTATTTTTATAATAATTTATTTTGTCATTTGATTCTTGCATTGTCTCCAACTTTACGCAAGTGTGCAAAATTTCAGATCGATAGGATAAGTAGAAGTGTGTTAAATTTCGATTATAAGATTAGCAGCAGACAGACAGACAGACAAACAAACAAGAAGTGAAGTTAAAGAGAAGTGTTGTAAAATGAACAAAAATAACTTTTTTTAGAGTACTCAGATTTGCTTTTCACTTCAAACATTCTACTAATCTCATAATCTCAAATCGGACAAAATCCTGGTCCGACGAAACAAAAATTGAACACTTCATAAGGAATTCGATCGAACCTTGACATATGACCAGTACTATTTAGAGCTCTGCTGATTGTGTCCTTTTCTACATCAATCCAACATTCTTCCAGGTCGCTTTTAATTTCACCACGAGCAACAAACGGGTTCTTGTGTACCTTTCTGCTAATCCACCCTGCATTACCGTCTGCTAGATTCCTCAGACAACCAGGTCTTGGAAGACTTGCAATAACATGCTTTAATGATATCATCGGGATGATTGCTTCGTGATATTTCCAACTGTACTCAATGATAGATCAGACTCCTTGGATATTATTCGACACCCCTTCCGTTTCTTGTGTCAATCTATAGATCTTTTGACGCAAAGCGGTCGCCAACTCTCGAGTTTTAGCCATTTTAAATTAAATTTGAAATATGAAGCTGAATAATATCTTCACCGGAACACAAAATCTCGTAAACAATAGCAAACTGATCTGATTGGCCAATTAGATAACGATATGAAATTAGTGTAACACCTAAAGTGAAAAGCTTATTTTGAGTACCTTAAAAAAAGTTATTTTCGTTCATTTTTGATCATGTACCCAATACTTTTGAGTGGGTTAATTTCTCTATTTGTTGAAAAAACCTAAACACTGCTTTTTATCACTATCCATTCTATATAATGTTTCTAGTGCCATTAGAAATAATGTATACTGACCAAATATTAGGTAAAATCTTGCACTTTAACTTGAGATATAAAGAAAACTGTAATGTATCCTTTACTTTTGCGCGTGTCATTGTCTATGAGATTATCCGCGAAACTGATATTCGAGGTTACCGAATTTCAGTTTCCAAAATTTAATATAGACACTGAAACTATCTACCTGGTCCCACACTTTTATTCCCTAATGGTAATGTTAAGTAATGTTTACCATTTTCGGTTGTATTTATTTTGAAAAATATGTCTTTAAAAATTACTTTTTAAAGACAACACTTCTGAACAATCCAGTGTCTTGGATGTTACACATGTACCATGAATTTCTAATTTTATTTTCAAGTATTAAAAAAACTATTTTTCAAAAAATTTTTAAGATATCAAAATTTTGTAAATTTTCAAAATTATTTATTCTGTCAATTGATTCATGCATTGTCTCTGACTTTATGCAATTGTGCAAAATTTCAGATCAATTGGACAGGTCAAATTGTGTCATATATGGATTATAAGATTTGTATCAGACAAAATTATTTTTTAATTTTTTTAATAATGACAAAAAGTTTTTTTTTAATTTATAAAATTATTTATTCTGTCAATTGATTCGTGCATTGTCTCCAACTTTACGCAAGTGTGCCAAATTTCAGATCGACTGGACAGGTAGTAGTGTGTTAAATATTGATTATAAGATTTGTAGCAGACAGTCAGACAGACAGACAGACAAACAAACAAACAAGAAGTGAAGTTAAAGAGAAGTGTTGTAAAAATAGGATTAATTTACCAGACTTTCTGGTATCCCGTGGCCGGTGATGTACACAAAGCCGATGTTGGAACAAGCATCTGTCAGCTGCCGACCAATGCGCTGCAAATCAACCGCTGGAATTTCAGCGTCAGTAGTTTTTCCTGGTAATAAATGAACGAAATTTTTCTTCAATGAACATTTAATCGTTTTATCATTATTTTAGCTCGTAGTTATTCAATACTATTCGTCGTTATGAAATACTTATAAATTTAAATTGAGAGAAACTATCCAACAAATCCATGCATATCTATGCGTATGCCAGTGCGAGACTTTATGAATGAAATTAGAATTTTCCACTGAACTCGAATTTCGGGAAAGGGTATTTAATCCTATTGTTAAAGTAAAAACCTAGAAATCACAAGAAAAAATATTTATTTGCAGATATTTGCTAAGAAACTAACCAATTGTAGCGATATCCACAACAGGGATGATTCTGCAGTCTTCTTCTGCCATTATTAACCCGCCTACAAATTGTTTAAGTGCCTACGAATAATTATTGTTAAAGATGGGGCGAAAAACATATTATTTTAATCACCTTCAACCATTATATTTGCTTATCGTAAATTATGAACCTTTTACGCCAACCTATCGTGAAACTAACCCACAATTCTGTCTGTTAAGTGTATATTTAATTCAAGATTTCAATTAGAATTTGTCATTGTTCAATGCCACAATTTTGCACTAAAACTTTCCTAAAGAAGAATAAACTACTCTGAAACACTGGAAATTTACTTAGGGGATGTCCCCATCGCAAAGGGATGTCCCCATAAGTAAAAAAATACATGTTCACATCAACAATTTCAAGATTCGGATTCGAATTAAATATAATGATTTGCGTACCCCGCAAGGGATCGAATGCTGGAGCCACCATCGATCATAACTATCAACACAGCATCTCTTGGAGATGATAAAAGGCACTACGCGATTACCGCAATCAAATATATTGAATCTCGTACTAATAAAACTAAAATTATTCTGGCAAGTGCAAATGACTTCGACAATAGTGTGAGAAAATTAACAATTAAAAGTAATATTTTTTGAATAAACGTTATGAAAAGAATTTAAGCACCGCAGTCAAACTCCAATCATCGAGAGTGTCAGCTGAACCCAGGATCGTCACTGAAGTCGTGGCCTCTCGCTGCCGCATATGAAGCTTATCAAACCAAGCACTACGCCGCACAGGGCTACGTTATCAGTCTTTGAGGAACGAACGTTGGGGCAACGACTGTGACTAGTGGAAGGTGACCGTCTGCGACTACTATGGAATATCTTCGCTGAAACGCGGAGACTTGGACGAAATTTTTTTTTTGAAAAAACATGAAATGTTCACTGTTATATAATAATTATATTATAATATAACCAATTATAACCGTTTTGGTGTAAATGATGCCCCAAACATTAGAAATTTTTCCTATATAATGAAATTCATTTTTACAACAATTTACCAAAAGTAAATTTAATAAAAGTATAGATGGACTAATTACAAGAATAGATATATAGTTCATTTATAGAGTTCACAAATATTTAGCACCGATTCGTTAAACAATGCGAAGTAACGTCACAAAACTAGCGAAATAGCTAATGAAAACAAGCGACATAAATAAGGTCATGAGTTGTTTATAAAAATAACATCCATGCACTAAATGCAAGGAATATTTTTAATTTACAATAACTGAAGATAAAAATGCTATGAAAATTTCGATTACGGAGTACAGTGGAATAGATACGTCAGCAGATAAATATGGCAATATTGCGCAAAACGTCGTGGCTCACGTCATCTTGAAACGACATCGTGAATGACATTTAAAAGTTTACTCTAAATATCGTTCATCGTACTAGCAACGAAAACAATGTAACAGCATTTCAAAAAAGCTATTGCAATTTTACTTTGTTAAAATTTATGACAATCTTGTTCCGTTATAAAATATCATTTGATAATGCCCAAGATAAACAATACATTCAAAATCGGCCGCCACAGAAGCAAAGAAATAATAATAGAAATAATAAATGTAACACACATTTTTTACTGAAAGCCAATTTGGAGAGAGTCGCTAAAAGTGTCCTTAAAAATATCCTCAAATTTAATGCAATAACCATTTAAATGAAAAAAACATTTAGGTGTTCAGTTCATCATGGCAATTTTGATACCAAACTGCATAGTTTGTCGTCTATCTTTATGCCAATCAGTGAAAATTATACCAGCACTAAAGAGACAGGAACATCCCCTCCATCACACATCTCAAGCATCAATTATTGATTCCTCTTATACTAAATATACAGACCAATAGTGTTTCAAACTTTTGGTAAATGCGATAACCTGCGACCTTTCATTTCAAATTACAAAGGTAGAGGGTTCTATTGTTGACTCGCATCCGTCAAGTGAAGAGAAATGTCGTCTAAATAGTTTTTCCTTCATTTTCATCGGAAATTTCTCAATTACATAAAATGTAATTTAATTATTCGAAATAATTTTTCGTTTCCGGCCTTGTCGGATCGAATTTTCAATACTGGATTGATTCCTTGTATCTTTTATTCAGCCAGTCTTCCGCATTGACGGGTGGCAGGCCGCCTTTGCCGTCCAGAGGCTCGACCATGACGTCATCGTCGGGGTGGACGAAGTAGGCGATGGAGCGACGCGGCAGCTTCTGCAGGTGCTCAGTCGCCGGCATCATCACGCGGTGCTCCTGTCGCAGTTATATGGTAATCGAAAAAAAAAATATCGGAGGAACAATAGGAAAAAGTACTTTGCTTCATTACACCAGTCATTCATTATGCTCAGGAAGCAAACGTCCAAGGTATATAAGAATAGTGATATAGGTAAGTTACGGGAAAAGTTGATCTTAGCAACAGTGAAACGCAATTCTTGCTTGAATGACTTCAACGCTAACTAAACTAGAATTTAATTAAAAACTGACACATGGCAATTTCCTCGGGTGTTGCTAATTCTATCCAGTTACGTCATTCACAATGAACTTCATTCTTAGGAATGCGTATATTCCTGCAATTTTGACTATTTAACAGTAGATGTCCCAGATATACCCAAGAGATCACTAAGTGGAGACGATAAAACTAGGCTCATTCCTTACATCGCCTAAGCTAATATACTAAACTTAGCAGTGGGCAAATTCTATCTGATGAATAATTTCGTGCAAGTAGGCCATTATGATTCTATTTAAAATGTAAGTATCTGGCTTCCTTGATGTGCACATACGGCATCATTCTCTGGTGATTCTTGTCTTCTTCTAGATCAATGCAAGTATGACGGAACGCGAATTTTGTGAAATATTTTTTTAACCGTAGTATTGTCTGGACTTGGAAGATTCAACTTCACTAAAGAATTCGAGTTTTTATATTATAAATTGCGTTTGAATACCACTTAATAATGCGTGAAAATATTCATTTTATGACTAGGATTTGGAATCTCGTTTAACTGTGATATTATTTTGTTTATTCATAAGATTTGGTTATCAGCGTCTTGGGACGAGACTTAATGACTTGTAGCTACATCGTGATTGGTTGAGTCAGCTGGTAGCCTCGAGCGGGTGCACGTTTATTCCCCTCGGTGGTCTTGGACGATGGAGAGCTCAGTCTCCTCAGACTCAGATGGAGAGCTCAGCTTGTCCATTTTGTTGCGCTGTAAACTAGGTATTATTGTGAGGTCACTTTAGTTGAGTTATCCATTGCAGGCGAATTGTGTGTGCTCAGTGGAACTGGGTGGGGGTCCGGTCGTCTTGACTCTAATGGAGAGAGCCAGATCTGAGCTTCCGAGACCCACCCTTAGTTCTGGAGATATCACGGGAAGGACTAATTTTTTGCGCTGGTGGACATCTTGGCTAGTTTTAGTTGCTGGTAGCGCTCTAGCACGGATTGTTCCGGTGCCGAGCAACTCTCGTGTTGTGGGGGCTAATAACTTCCACACTCGAGTATATATATCAGCGTTCTGTTGCAGCATCTGCCGTACCGTTTGAGCTTCTCGTTTCGCGGGAATTAATACCTTCCACGCTCGGGAGTAATCTGAATTTGGCACTGTCTTAATGCTCGTACCCTCGGTCATTGCAGCTGGTTGTTAGCATTGTGATTCAGCTCATACCTGTAACCTTGCTGTTCATTTTTGTGTTTTTGGCAGTGTATTAGGGCTCGTACTCCTGATCATTACAACTTGTCAGCATTGTGGTGCAGTATGAACCTGTACCCTTGCTATCCGCTTTTGTGGTTCTCGACAATGTATAGGGACTCATCAACGTTGTATCCCTGAAGTTGATATTCTGTCGCCCGGAGCTTATGGACTTTTAGCGAATAATAAAATGTGTGCCCTTGTACAATAGAATTTGCGCATCGCCTGAAGGTCACCAATATACTTCGAAAAGTTCCTCCTGTTCATTCCTCCTCTCTCCAACGCAAGGGAATTTAGAGCCGGACCAAAGAGCGATACTTTAGTCCTTGTGTGTAAACCAATAAAGAAGTCACCACCAAGTCAGCACGCTACCCATAATTATTTCGACTTCGCGGCGGTGTTTCCGGTTGCACTAGGATGCAACCAAACTATTCATTACCGTGGCGATGAGTTGCTGTTGCTTGAGCTATGCTAGGATGCAACCAAACTCCTCATTACAGTGGCGTTGAGTTGGTGTCTGCTTGAGTTATGCAATGACGCAACCAAACTCCTCATAACAGTGGCGTTGAGTTGGTTTCTGCTTGAGTTATGCAATGACGCAACCAAACTATTTATTACCGTGGTGATGAGTTGGTTGTTGCTTGAGCTATGCAATGAAGCAACCAAACTATTCATAACCGTGGTAATGAGTTGGTTGTAGATTGAGCTATGCAAGGATGCAACCAAACTATTCATTACCGTGGCGATGAGTTGGTTGTTGCTTGAGCTATGCAAAGATGCAACCAAACTATTCATTACCGTGGCGATGAGTTGATTGTTGCTTGAGCTATGCAAGGATGCAACCAAACTATTCGTTACCGATGCGATGAGTTGGTTGTTGCTTGAGCTATGCAAGGATGCAACCAAACTATTCATTACCGTGGCGATGAGTTGGTTGTTGCTTGAGCTATGCAATGACGCAACCAAACTATTTATTACCGTGGTAATGAGTTGGTTGTTGTTTGAGCTATGCAAGGATGCAACCAAACTATTCATTACCGATGCGATGAGTTGGTTGTTGCTTGAGCTATGCAATGAAGCAACCAAACAATTCATTACCGTGCCGATGAGTTGGTTATTGCTTGAGCTATGCAAGGATGCAACCAAACTATTCATTACCGTGGCGATGAGTTGATTGTTGGTCCACCGTTGGAGTAGGTCGGCTACGTTCACCAGCACGGCGCTCTCGAGTGGAGGCGCTGGCACCCAAGCCCCGCTTCGGGTTTTTACCTATTAAATGATGAGTATGAATTTCAAAACAGGGTTGATTAGAGAGATAAAACTTATACGCACAGCATATTTTTTTCAAACTCTCTTCCATGGAGGGTGGCAGACGTACATGACCTCATCAAGGTTACCTTAAAGCAAAATTCTGCCTATATCTTAAACGCAAATGAACAAATATATCACTTTCATTCTTGCACGTCAGACTCTCAGTGTCTCGCAAGAGCAAAGCACCTCGAGGCCGCCGAGGCCGTCCTGCAGGAGGAGGGTGATGGTGCCGTAGTCTGTGTGGGCGCCGCATCGCATGGTGCCCTCAGGACGATGTGAGGGCACGGGCGGGTAGTAAAGGATCCTCATGAGGGTACGGTTGCCGGTAGGCTCCCTCTTTCTCGAGTGAGCTTTAACCAGGAAGTTGTTTTTCACACCTGCATCGAACGACAGTAAACGCAGTAGGGAAGGTTCAGTTTACGAATTGTCGAATACGATCGAAACTCGCCGAACTTGATGTTCAGCAATACAAATCAATACAGATGAGATCATAAAGTATATAGGTACTTAGAACCAAAGAAAATCCATGGCAGAAAATGTGTTTGTTTGTCTTGTGTGTAAGTTTTTTCTTACTGAAAAGTTATGCCTATGATTATATAATTCCACAATTCCGACAAACAAGCTTCCAAAATTTTCATTTTTTATCCTAATTATTGGGTCGAAACCTTTGTTACTAATAAATTCTTGAGCTTCTCGCCATTCTCAAAATTAATGAGATGACTCACAAAGGCCTGACTGGAGAGCCAGGATGAGTTTATCGCTGAGTTCGTCCAGCGCCGTCATGACGTGGACGACGGAGGCGCCGAAGTCGGGGATCTCTTCGTCAGGGTAGCGAGTAAAGCAAAATTCTACATCGAAACTCTCGCGCAACTCGTGTTTCTTGAAGTCGCCTCCCAGCCTGAGTAAAGGGAACGAAAATTCGTTACGCCGATGCACTATACTCTAAGAGACATAAAAAAATCCTACCTAATCTACGATTCGCAAATTATCGTCAAATTCCCACCGTTGATAAGAAACTTATAGTGTCGTAGATTGTCAGATTACATAAGCGTAACATATTCTATGTTTTACATGACCATTTACAATTCTCACTTTTGCCGGTCTACGGCAAGCTAACCTTGACCGTCCAGTCGGTCGTACTTTTCCTTCACTGCCAGGGGCAGTTCAAAGAACTTGCCGGTGCTGCTGAACGCTTTCTCGATCTAGAATAAAATAATTTAATTAATTGATAGAACGGTTCAGTTGAAAATGGGGCTTGCAATAATCTATTTTTCTTCAATCAATCCTTCTTAATAAACGCTAGGTATCTTTATTACCAGGGCCTCAATTCGAATGAAATTGAGTTCAAATCCAGGTTTTATGTCTAATCAAAAACCACACTCTAAACAAGAAAATGTACTCATTTAACGCTAGTTATACAATGGCGCTCTTGTTTATTTCTTTTCACCTAGTAAATTCAGGTTAAGAGAAGAAGTTGTATCATCACTAAACCTTATTCAAAATTACCTGGTACCAGTTGATTATTTATATTGAAATTAAACTAGTGTTTTATCGATCAAATCAAGCTGAAATATTTCTAAGCTGCTAATAAATTAACTTATAGCATTTATAGTCTATTACATTGCAATCCTTCATATTTACTGTCAACTCTTGCATAATTTATGTTAGCAAAGATCTTAATGCGATTTTATTATACATATACGTCGATGATAAATGTTAATCAATCAAATAGCGAGAGGCAACGTATTTCAAAAATAATTTCTACATTTTAGTGATTTGCAGTAACGATGAGGATATGAAAGTAAAAGTGGTAAAAATCACTTCATTATTAGTTCACCTACGTTATCGAATACTCGTTATATCGGTATGGATTACGGCGCATCATTATTGCATACTATCTGAATAATTTATATACCATGATATTGTACAGGTCGTGCTGCAGAGGAATTGGATTAAATTTTATAGTTTATGCATTAGGCTTATACTGAATATGAGTGGTTGATTTATAATTAATCAGTATTATAATTGAAAAAAAAAAAACGTTTTAGAAGTACAGTAATCGAGGTCAGAGATAGCGGGTAGGTAGGAAGTAGCAGAATGAACGTAGACTTGGGGCTGCGTCACGTGTCTCGTTAAAAGCAGCTCACTGAACAGAAGATGTTAAATGCCCGTTTTTCAAGTCCAGGAAAGAGAACATGAAAAGTATCTCTCATGAGGGATGAAAGTTCCTTATGTGAATTATGAGCAATAAAATATTTTAATGTGACCGTTGTTGTTTAGCCCAGTACCTGTGGGCTACCAATGGACATACAATGAATTTACCAGACTTTCTGGTATCCCGTGGCCGGTGATGTACACGAAGCCGATGTTGAGGCAAGCGTCTGTCAGCTGCCGACCAATGCGCTGCAAATCAACCGCTGGAATTTTAGCGTTAGTAGTTTTTCCTGATAACAAATGAACGAAATTTTTCTTTATTGAGCATTCATCGAATAGTTTTATCAATATTTTAGCTCGTAGGTATTCAATACTATTCGTCGTTATGAAATACTAACAAATTTAAATTGAGAGAAACTATCCATCAAATCCATGCCTATTTTTGCGTATGCCAGTGAGAGCCATAAAATTCAATTTACGAATGAAATGAGAATTTGCCACTGAACTCGACTTTCAGGAAACGGTGTTTAATCTAATAGTTAAAGTGAGAACCTACAAATCACAAGAAACGATATCTGTTTTCAAATACTGTATTTGTTAAGAAACTCACCAATTGTTGCAATATCCACAACAGGGATGATTCTGCAGTCTCCTTCTGCCATTATTAACCCGCCTATAAATTGTTCAAATGCTTACGAATAAATATTGGGACGAAGAATATATTATATCACTCACGCAATATCCTCAAACATAATTCGTTATCGTAAATTATGGGCCCTTCGTGCCAACCGTTTGTAAAACCAACCCACAATTCTAACTATTAGGAGCATATTTAATTCAAGATTTTATTTAAAATTTGTCATTGTTCAATGCGATAATTTTGCACTCAAACTTCCCTAATAGTCCAGGAAAAATAAGGTTTGACCCGGAACAAATTGCAAAAGAAATTATTTTTTCACCAATGCTTGAGAAGGGCCTTAGAAATAACATACTAAAAATCCTCTAAAATGCAAGTATTGGAAGGGTGTCATATTTACGATTTAAAAAAATGGCCGCCGAATGGCAATATAAGCCCAATAACATATTTTAAAAATATGACAGACAGTTATTTTTGTGACTGTATGGATGTTTTCATGTAGGAGGTATTCACTAATGATAACTAAAATTCATCCAAGGTGGTAGCAATCAAGTATTTGCAAAAACAGCCACCAATAAAGTGAAAAATTGTGATTATATAGGCATGTGGAATAATGCGTATGATATATACAGTGTGATGCAGGGTGAGTGTGTGTGTCTATATCATAAATGGTGTGTTAATTGTAGTAAGAGGGCAGCATTGTCTAGACCCTCTGGTGTAAGTTTTTAGAACATGACCAGCAAGAGAGGGTGGCCCAGTGGTTACAGTTCAGAGTACCAGGATTGGCGCGGGTTCGATCCCAGCTCTGTGCGCCAGTTTCTGGTCAGAATCGGCAAGGAGGCCAGGCGGTTAAGCACAGCAGAATTGTAGCAGTGTGTTGCGAGTTCGAGACCGCAAAATGTTGTGAATGTTCTGCGATGATAAGAATCGGCGACAGGCCTACGGCCTGATAAACGCTGAAACCGCTATTATTATTATTAAGAGAGCAGCCCTCTGATCAGACTTCAAGACAGGACACACCATATATTTTGTGATTATTACATCCTTATAGTCACTGTTACAGAATGTTTAGCTTGTACATAACTACATAAGCGTGGTAGAGGGTGATCACATCATGTCCTATAGGTAGCACCAAGATGGATGTTGCCCAATGTGCCCTTTGCAGCAGGCCTGTCCTAGAAGGTGAAGAATGTCCAACACTAACACCAAAGGGTTGTGAAGGTATCCAGAAAGCCAGTGAAAGAAGAAAAGTTGTAACACGAGTAGTGCCTGGACAAAAAGTACACATACAATGTCGCAAGGACCATTGTAGGTCATTCAGTATTGAAGCCCAGAACAGAAAAAGAGCAAATGAGTCTTCTGAAGACGGAGCACGCCAACTGAGATCTACTGGAACCGGCTTTGATTAAAAAAGTAACTGTATCTATTGCAGGACAGGGGACAGATATGGTGGTAAGAAGAAAGACTTAGTGCTGACACCTGTCAGGGAATACAGCGTTCAAAACTCAATCCTGGGGGTCTGAGAGAGAGAAGATGAGTGGGGTCTGAAGGTGAAATCCAGGGTACAGTTTGTGGCTGGAGAGATTGCACTAATCTTTCTGTACAAGGATGCTACCGGAGAGTCTCTGGACAAACTTCGATTCAAGAACTTTCACAGAGAAGTTGTTAGCAAAGCATTTGTAGACCTACAGTTGCTTCCATCTACATCAGCAGCTGTCCAGTTTCATAATCTGAGGACATTTTGCCAAGTGGATTGGCAAAGGTGGCTGGGCAACAGAATGAAACCTGATGAGTGGGGATGGGAAGTGAGAAATGGACAATGCATGCCTGTTCTCACAGATAGAGAACTTGCACCACCTGAGCTACTAGAAATGGTGAGATGCAATAGTTCAACACATTGTTCAACAAGGAGGTGTGCCTGTCGGAAAAGGGATGTGGAATGTTCACCAGCATGTGGCCAGTGCCATGGTGTGTGCAGTAACACAAGTCAAGTATTTGACAGTGATTCTAACTCTTCTGATGAGTGACCGCAAGACAGTAATGGTGGTGGTATAAGGGCGAATATGATACATAGGAGTGTTCAGCTGCATGTAGCCAATGCTGATACTCCTGATGGGTGACATCATTCTATTTTGATATATTGTATAGAATAAACACAGTTGGGTAACATGGGGCAGCGCCCCCCCTTTTTTATTTTGCACACTTGTGTGAAGTCAGAGGCAATGCATGAATCAATTAACAGAATAAATAATTTTGGAAAAATTATATATTAAAAAATTTATATATTAAAAAAAATTTAAAAACTAAATTTTTAATTTGAAAATTAAATGAGAAATTCGTTGTACATTTGTGAGATTGGAGACACTGGATTCTTTGGAAGTGTTGTCTTTAAAAATTAATTTTTAAACGCATATTATTTAATCTAAATTTTTGATGAAGTTTTAATTGATACGAGGTGGTTCTTTGTTATGTTTAAAGGTACAACTAATGAGGAATGTATGATGTGAATTAGACGCCAGTAGAGTTATTCAATTTTTAATGAAACACTATTTTATAAAAAGTGTCAAAATGGGCCCATTGCCCCACCCCTGGGGCAATGGGCCCATGGGCTTTGGGCAAGGCGCCCACCTTTGGTCCCTTTACCACAATTGCATATTATTCGTTCAAAATGATAAAACAACCCTTTACAGTTAATAAAATGTATAAAAAAGAATTTAAAAGACCACGTTTTTCATGTGGACTCAAAAGTAGAAAATAATTTTACGTCAGCTACTGATCTCTGTTTGCTTTCATTCTCTTGGTCTTTTGTATTTCAGTTAAAATATTTTACAACATCTAAAACAAAAAACGTGGGGCGAATATGTATTTAATTGTTTGGTGATGACTTGATATGATGAATATGATGGTTCATTGAACATTTGATAAGTGTATTGCTGATATATCTGATTTGAGCAAATTTTGTTATTTCCTGTTGGTATATTGATTTATCATGTTTCATCCACTATAGGTAGTTTGAAATGTGTATAAGTAATTCAAGCAAGTAAAGATATGAATCATGAATAACGCAAGTCAGGGTATGTGAAAATTTTAAAAGAATCAAATTTTGAGAATTTTAAATGAACGCGTGGACTATATCTAATCAATTTATGAGGCATATTAAGACATTTGAAAAGAAAATGCATTAAGTACGTATCTAAATAGTTCACCATTAAATAGCTCACTATCAAATCAAAGGTATATGGAGTAACGAATAGTGATAGAAAAATTCGAAATAGTGGTTGAATTCAAAATTGAAATTAAGGCATGCCTAAATGAAGATGCGTAGAAAAATGTAGAAAAAAACAAGGAGAAAATATTTCTATCTCATTCTTATAAAACAAGGAAGGAATTTACTTCCCTTTCTGATAGTGCAGATGATATAAAAATGATGAAATCGAAGAAAATTGTTCGATAAACATAAGTTACCGTGGAATGTCTAACTCTTAAAAAATAAATTATATTAAATACGACATCGATTATTCTTTGCACACAATTATTCTTCGGTCGTCCACATTTAAGGGAATGTGAAGCCTGAGCATGCAGTAAACACCCTCTGTCGTGTGCCGCTCAATCCAAGGCAAGAATTTGTTGACTCGCGTGTAGACTTAAATTATTAGTTTACTTCAAGTCCATCCCTGGAATTTGAAGCCTTTCTTCTGTGGTAGAAATACAATCAAAAATATGTGAACTAGTCTTCGTGGAAACAATTTTGTCCTGGATGAGCTTGTACAGGATATATTCGTAAGTTGAAGTACATTAGCAGATTAAATGTTTGTTATACTATATCATTCTTTGAAATATAATATAATATGATATAATAATATAATATAATACAGTATAATATAATTTAATATAATATACCGGTATTATGTTATCGCACCTGGCTATAACTTTGTGTGTTATCCAAGTAGACTAGAGGACCGCCAGAGTTGCCCTGGCAAGAGTCGAGCCCAGCGGCTCCAGCACACAACATCTTGCGCGTGATCTGAATCTGAGCAGCCGAGTAACCGGTTTTATTCATGCAATCCTTCCGGGACAACACCTGCAAAAAGAATGCATAAAATCAGTTGATCTACTTACTTAATATTTAATTGCGTTCGCTAGATTTTAATCGTTCTAATCCAGGTATTCAGGACCTTGTTAAACGCTGTTGAATTTTATGCTCGAAATAAAAATGTTTATTGCAAAAAATTTACATTTTCCAGTGTGAAATAGCGTTTTACCCTGGATATTAATTCAACCAGCATAAGGTCGAATTTAAATGATTTGAGCGATATAAAAACTATGGTCGCTGTATCGTTCCTTCACTTTAAATGGTTAAGCAATGGTTCCTTCACTTTAAATTCTAACAGAATTCACTATATGAATCAATATTAAAATCGTTAGCAGTAACACAAATTTAATTCACGCTTATTCGTAAATTAAATTTATTCAATCACAAGCGGAACCGCTTCATATCCCAAATCTAATCTTTCTTTCCGAATTTCATCCGCCACTTACGTACCGGAACTTGGACTTTCTGCAAGGTGCTGATGGTAGGTCCGTGAAACGTCGATGCGCCACAGCCTGTGACGACCGCTGAGACGTTCGCGTATTTCGATTTTGCTGAAGACGGCAAGCACACGGGCAACAGATTCGCGCTGATCTAAACACATGAGTGCACGTAAGATACTTTCTCATAGATTGATTCCGTCTGTCATCAGGTTACAATACAAATGAGCCTGGGTAGTGATTATTTTCTATTAGTTAAGCAAAAGTTTTAAAGAGATTGTAACGGAATTAACATTCAACAAAAATTTTTTATTTATTTACTGTGCTCTCTGGCTTTTGAGCCTTGCACAAAATACGAGGCATGTTTTTAGAGTAAATACTGTTTTTAAATTACGCCACCGCAACGAGGCGGCCACCGTTTTAGCGAATATGTGCCTTGTAGTTACGTCAATTGGGAAGCCACAGACGGCATTTCGGGATCATGCGACTAACTCTACATCTGTTTACGTAATTTTAAAATGACCCCAGCTACTCAGAATCAAGCCGAAATGCGTGCGTTTCTCTGTGAACAAGGCTTCAAATCAGTTCACATTCATCGCAAAATCAGCGAAGTGCTTGGTAAAAACATTATGAGTGATGGAATGGTGTGGAAGGGATTAAGGCCTTTAAAGATGGCTGCACAAAGATTCATGATGAGGAACGAAGTGGGCGACTTTCAGTCATTACCGATGATCTGATTCAAAGAGTGTACTGTAAAGTGAAACAGAACAGACGATTCAAGATTTCGTTCTTCGCTGAAAAATTTCTTGTTGTCTTGCTGAAGAATTTCTTGAAGTGTTCTTCACGAAATTGATTGTGTTCTTTACGAAGTGTTCATTACGAAATTGAAATTGAAGTGTTCTTTACGAAATACGGTTTCGGATCAGGCGGCGAGCTTCTTCGACGATGGCATACAGAAGCTGATCCCAACTCCCAAGACACGACATATGACTCGATATTAGTAGGATTTATTTAGAAGATTAAAGTAAGGTATGGTTTTTCATAGGAATGGATTATTTTTGAGAAAATTTACAGGTTGTTTCTTTATATCAAAACGTTACTAACTTGAAAAACATGCCTCGTTCGTCTAATTTACCAACTGGTTGTATATTGCTAAATGACTCACGTCCACTGTTTGGTTGAGATGTATGATGGCGATGTCGTTATTTTTGGTGGTATTGTCGTATGACTTGTGAATGTAAACTGCCTTCACGAACCTTTCCACAACACTTGTTTCCGACGGATCAGAGATATTGTGCGCTCTAAAATGTACCACCATGTTCGCGGCCGTCAGCGCCTGTAATCACACATCGTCAAATATCCGGTCAAATGACACGATTTTAGATCTTCTGTGAACAAGGCACGAAAAGATAAAGAATCGGCGACAGGCCACATCAGGCCTACACTTCAGCGCCGAGATCAATATGTTATGATCAATATGTCACTTGCGTCTATTGATTAAGTGAAGGTAATCAAGCGCTGTCTTTAATGCAATCAAAAGATCAAAGTTGTCACTGACCTAAAATTTTCAGCTATTAATTTTAACTCCTATCCCTAATACATGGCTTTCATATTAGTATTTCTATTTCATAACTCTTTTAGGCTTAATTTTTATCTCATCTTTCATTTGATACGTGCTTCTTTCAACATACCTTTCATTAATTATTTACACATAAAGTTTTCATTGCCTTCTCATTCAGATTTCTTATTAATGTCTTCGTAAACTTAAATGTATCATTCATGTTGGCTTGAATCGTTGATTCCAAGATAAACAAATGTAAATCTGATAACTCATTTCTAGGTCCTAGGTCTTTATCTCAACGTTATTAAATTATCAAGTCTATTATGATTCATTCCGATACTTTGTAATAATATCGTTGAAATAAACTTAGTAACCGTAGTATTCGATTGCTAACCTCGAAGCAGTGAGCAGCCGTGAGTATGTGCTGGTTGGTGATGAGCGAACCACCGCACATAAACTTTTTGGTAGCGGCGATGTAGAGCGCAGCTTGCCAAGGGAACTCGTTGACAAGTGTGTTATTGCCGCCGACGATGCGCGTCAACTTTTTTGCCGCACTTGCACGTGCTGTTGAACTGAGCATGTTCGCTCTCTACGTCTAAATCTAAGTCCATTTCTCCTGTGCACGGCAATTGAGAAATATATAAGGTCACTTTTGTTCTATCAGTAAAATTTGGATCAGAAAATCAATAATTTTTTTAATTTCTCGATTTTTCAAAAATGTCACTGCTTGCGCATGAAATGGCGTTCTGAAAAAAATTATTGTTAATCTTCGTCAAAAATTAGGGTATATTAGTTCTTCCTCTTTAAATACTAACTGATGATATTTTATGATAGTATTATAAAAGAAATCATTAACATTACAACTCTATAATCTTTCTTATCTACTAATTGTTTCTCTATAGGTTATATTCGTTTTCATCAATATTTTGTCGTTTCATTAAAGTATTAGAAAGAAAAAATCCTGATGGAACTAAAGACCCATGGCTTTCATTTAAATTCCTAGAAAATATTGTCTATAAGTGATACATTAATTAATTTGCGAGCTTACCGAAGTTTTGGACGGATAGAGCGGCAGGAGAGACACATGATATGAGAGCCCCCGCCATGACGGCTAGCATCCACCAGATGGCTTGTGACGACATCGAGTATAAGGGTTTTGTAGCCACGCATGAACTATGACGAACTGAAAGAAGGATTACACTGTGAGAAAGCTAATAAATATTTTTTGCAAAAATTTTGTAGCGACGCACGAACTATAACGAACTGTAATAAAAAGATTAGACCGTAAGAAAGCTATTACATATTTTTCTAAACCCCGACATGCTTATAACTAGATTTAGGATATGCGCTCGATACTATTAATTGCTGAAAATATTTACCGTAAATAAATTAAAACAATTTCTGTATTATTTTAGGTATAGACTGTGTAATATTCTGAACGAACTGTACGCTTGGGAACAGAATTAATCTACGATATTGAAAAATGTAAATCATCTGAATAATGTCTATAAGTTATTATAGGTGAATTAACTTTGATTAACTGGATATCAAGTTAAGGTAAGAGGTAAAGGATGATCACGTATCATAAGTTTAGTATTTTTACTGGCAAATTGGGAATAACGGTTTTTATATAAACCACGTTAGGGATTTGTCGAGACAACGTGCTCATAAAAGTCAGATTTATAATCGCAAGGTAAAACATTGTTAACCGAAATGCACCTTGTGAGATAATAACGAATTTTAAAATAACATAGTTTAGATTCATTGCTTTTTAAACGTTTTACTACAACTCTTGCTTTTAGCCTTTGTAAACTCAGAGTATTTAAAAACTTCATTCACTAACAGACCGCATTTACAAGTGTATCTGAGATAACATCTCTAACTTTTCTGCCGTAGGTTTTCAATTGAAACTATTTTTCAATTGAACCAATAAATATTTCCCACTTGATAAACGAGTTCTGTGCCGAAAGTTTCTACTGTAGAAAACCTTAACCAACTCTACTAAAGAGCAGCACTCGAATGCCGTCTTCTACGTCGGGCAGACAGTAAATAAGCTTCCCTGCTCGTCAAATGCAGTCTCCAAAGCGACCGTGTTCACCTGATGAAATCTCTTTGTTCATTTCATCAACGCCACAGCTTCATACTAGGTAGCTGAAACCGAAATTTCACTCCATATGTACTGATCATTTTATACATGTTTAAATTCCTTAATGGAAGTATTGTGACTGAAATAATTGAATCAACTTCATTTCTGCATCGCGCTTGCTTGGACCTATTAGTTTGATTTAAGATAATTGTGCAATTTTTATTTTTCTTATTCCTACTTATATTAAAATAATTATGATTCTGAGTTAACAAATAAACATTCATGCATGAAATAATTATAAATACCAGTAATGAAATAAATTTCAAAGTAAGCCCTATCATATCATGTAATACTATAACATTCAGTTAAATATTTAAATAGAGACTAAGGCAAAAAACATTTTAATTGTCTTTACTAAAAGGTTTTAAAAGCCTTATAGAAACTCAATGTTTATTCAATGCAATGAGAGAAAGTGTAGAGTTGCAAGCTCTGCCTCACAATCGGCGCCGGGAAAGCGGGCATATGATCTCGAGAGAAAGTCTACTAGAAAGTCAACCTGCCACAGCAAGATCATATGATCGAGTGTCATGGCGGCAGAGCCAACGACCGCAAACTGTAGAATTTTCAGCAATCGCAAAGAACTTGCGATTGCTGAAAATAAAGATTGTGACAATAAGAAAACAAATTAGCGGAATATAATTCGAAATCTGTGCGGTCTTTTTGGAACTTGAATCGTCTTCGTTTACGTTGAATGCTGCCTTGCAAGGGTTCCCAGGAAGAACATTTTAAAAAGTGATAGGTATACTTCTTTAATAGGAATCTTTATTTCACAACTGCCTGCATCGCAAATGTTCTACATATTCTCGTTCGTGTTCCAGTTTTAAACGTATTAATTATTAATATTGAGCATGAGAATCATGTTTTCTCGTGATAACGAGTATCGCATGAAAATCATAATTATGTAATAATCTAAAAAACAGGAATTTGGACAACAAGCATGTCATATTGATTCAATTAATGCAAAATTCAATTAATTAATTTATTTCGAATGACACGTTCACTTGTAATTTTGCTTTTCGTTGGTGAAATTGCATAGATTTTTGCAAAAGCTTTACTAAATCTGGGGAAGACAAATAATCATTGGTCCAATAATGCTGTTCCGCAGTCAAAATAAGCATTTAAGATGCTTAGAGAAATTGAATAAGGATAAATCAGAGTTCTAGATCTATAATTTTAATTAATACAATCCATAATAATAATTAAAACAAATAAATATCATTAAAAGCACTGATTATAATTAAAAATAATAATTACAATTAAACCAATTTTCAATACTAACGATATTGAAAATGTGGTCATATTAGGACAAGTTTGTCCTAGCAGAAATATGATTTTTTTACGAAAGATAAAAAAATAACTTTATATCTGTAATTCTGTACAGGTAAACGATCATTAAAATTAAATGAAAACATTTTTCTCTGTGTTCCGTGTGGAGAAATTTCTGATAAAACGCGTTCGGTGATTTAAGCGAGGATGGTCTGTCCGGTCCACAGCTGTCCGGGTCTGTCAGGCCCACAGCTGTCTGGGTCTGTCAGGCCGACAGCTGTGTCGGTCTGTCCGGTCCACGGCTGTCCGGGCCTGTCCGGCCCACAGCTGTCCGGGTCTGCCCGGCCCACAGCTGTCCGGGTCTGTCCGGCCCACAGCTGTCCGGGTCTGTCTGGCCCACAGCTGTCCGGGTCTGTCCGGTCCACAGCTGTCCGGGTCTGTCCGGCCCACAAGGGGCCAACCTTGTGATAGTCGAGCTATGAACGCACATATCACACCGATGCACCGATGCTGTCTGCATGATTCAAATGAAGTTTGGCGAAAATATGTTGAAAGTAATCAAAGACCTGATATTTTAAAAATTCATGAATACATACATCATACTATAACGGATAACTTGATCATGCGATTATATAGCTGATAAAGTTTTCTTATATGTGATGAGTTATTCTAAAATACTAATCAATATATCAATGCTTCAAGATTCAGTCAATATTTGTAATTGAGTAAGTAATAACTGAATGTAATCATAAAATGTTATCTTTCTCATAAGTACCTCTGCATTGATCTACCTTCTTAAGATGAGTATTGTAGGCAAAAACTTTTGTCGGCCTTGCAGCGGAAAATGGAGAAGCTATAATGAAGGAGACAACTTTTAAATTTACCAGAAATAATCAATTGTTATGTACATAATTCATATTGAACACTTGCGAATTTTTAACCGCTCAAACTGTCAGATCTATTAACATATCACAGAGAAAAAATTTAAGTGATCTCATTTTTGCCTGAAGTAGCTCAACCATCCATTTAGCATTTCAACTCATACCTCTCTCTGACTGGACGACAAGAATAAAAGAATAAAATGTATAAAAAAAATTTAAAGACCACGTTTTTCATGTGGACTCAAAAGTAGAAAATAATTTTTCGGCAGCTACTGATCTCTGTTTGCTTTCATTCTCTTGGTCTTTTGTATTTCAGTAATAATTAATAATTATTATTATTTCATTAATAATTTTCAGTGTTGTAATATTTTACAACATCTTAAACGAAAACCGTGGGGCCAATCTTCATTTAGGCATGCCTTAATTTCAATTTTGAATTCAACCACTATTTCGAATTATATCAGCAATACACTTATCAAATGTTCAATGAACCATCATATTCATCATATCAAGTAATCCCCAAATAATTAAATACATATGCGCCCCCACGTTTTTAAGTCACGATGTTGTAAAATATTTTAACTGAAATACAAAAGACCATGAGAATGAAAGCAAACAGAGATCAGTAGCTGCCGAAAAATTATTTTCTACTTTTGAGTCCACATGAAAAACGTGGTCTTTAAAAAATTTTTTTATACATTTTATTTTCTACTTTTTGGTTTTTTAAGTATTTTATTTTCTCCTTTTTTAGTCCGTTGCTACACATGAAAAACGTTGTTGCGAGCCAATTTACTTGGCTTGATGTACGTATCGATGATACGAAGCGTATCATCGATATACGCAGTCTAAACACGAATATCCTCTCGAGGATGACGTGCATTTAAAGGTTCCCAACCCCTGCTTGTGAGTTCCTTTAGAGTTTATAACTACTGCAAAATCTCAATGCTTGGTTGCGTATACGCTCGTTGACCCAGAGCACGTCGCTGCAGCACCAGCCTCCCCACTCGTGCTCATCTATCCAGCGTTGCAGGTTGTTGACCGTGGCGCGCACCCTCCGGAACCCTGCGTTCTCCAGCTCACTTAGGATCTCGTACGCGAGCTGTCAATTATTTAAACATATATACAGTCTGGTCCACTCACCATCGTCTAACTCTCTTATCATCGTCCGACCCACTCGTCATCGTGTAGCCCATTAATTTTTGTCTACTGTAAACATATGTTATGCGCGCCAGTATGATTCTCAAAGTTTGCGGTTAATATACGGAACATGAGCATAATTGTTCAACAAACATTGGATGTCGGACGAAAATATGTGAATTAATGGTTGCCATTGTCAAGGAATTGAAAAAGCAGTATATTCATTGATATTTCCGAAATGGTCGAGCAGTGTAGCAAATCCTTGGTAACTTGCAATTTTGAATCGTCCAAGACATATGAATGAATGCTACAATTTTTTATTAACATTTCACGGTATCTTCTGTCTTATTTTATCCTTGTAACTTGCTGGCACCAACCTTGTTGCGCTGAATGTATACTTCAGATGACTTCCTCCAAAAATTGTGAACCTCCATATGTAGCTGCCACACGTTCTCCAATAGACCAGAGGCGATTATTTGAGGTAAAGCCTATGTATGAAACATCAACAATTACAAAGTATGAGATGCAAATCATCATGTCAAAAAGTAGTCAATCTGAATATCATATCTTTTACCAAACAAAAATTTTAATCGAATTCATTGATGAAAAGGTTGGAGCAGTATCTCCTTGCTCTTTGCGAAAAATATTGACCGATCATGTTCTAGCAGTTATCAACATGCAATGGGCCACAATGGATAATCGCCTCAATTACTTGATCAGGATAACAATCATCACAAGCAGTGCATTCAAGCCTTAGACTTAATTTCACAGTTTCTTATTTTAATTTATCTGCTAAACTCACATTATACTCGTTCTCCTCGATGTCGATCTTGAGGTAGTGCACCTGGGCGCCGACGTGACCGTTGGCCGCGAGGGCGTCTTTGTACGTCACCAACGTCCGGCCGTCGTCGTCGACGTGGCTGACGTTGGCGATGCCCCACGGCCGGTGGACGTGGCGAGGCCCGAAAAAATCCTGTGGGGAAAAAAAACGAATGTTAGCTCGAAAGCCTCTGCTTTCTTTTTCTTATTATGAACATGATAAGACATGATTCGAAATCTTGTTCCAAAGGGAAAATTTGTGACTGTATAATGTAATTTTTTCGAATTTTGATTGCTGATGCAAACGTCAGAAATTTTTATGGAAGCTCTATAATGATCCACAATGCGAGTAGTTGCATTGCGGAAACTTCAAAAATTGAACTCTATATATGGTTTGTAATAGTTTTATTTATTCATTCCATTACCTGGGTATGGTTGACAGTGTGGTCGTGCAGGAAGACGTGGCAGCCCCAGAGGTCGGACATGATCTTCTCAAATGTGATGTCGTTGCCGACACCAAACGAGTAAATCAGGCACGAGTTGTAGGCGGGTGTGTACCACGGGTCCAAACATACCTGGTGTACAAGTAATTACTGATGAAAAAAGTTTCAATATGAATATTACTACAATTGTTTGCTTGAGAATAAGCTTTGTAAACACTAACGGCCTCTCATGGTTGGCATATACCACGGGTCCAAACACACCTGGTGAACAAGTAGCTAATATACATCGCTCAATTTTTATTAGTATTTATTTTGATATGCATTAAAAATTTTTATTCTTATTATTGTTCAATTGGGTAAAACTAAAGCCAACACCAATCGATTACATTAGTAGGTTGGAATTATGGGCTAAAACTCAAATATATAGTGTGCAATTAGCAATCTACGACTACGTTACGACGGAATAAAATAATTATAGGATCTTTAGTGGGTTAAATCTCATGGCAGTTTAACCCAGCTGACCATCTAAATGTATTTATTCATATTTTTTCATGAAAAAATATTAGTAACAGAATTTTAAATTCCTTATGTATCTCTTTCAGAATCAATTAATTTATATTTGAAAATGTTTTTATTATTTGATTTTCGTGCATTGCAATGTTCGGGCGAAATTTGGAAAAAGAGTTGAAACATCAAAATATTTCTTACGTCTTTGTTTCCGTCAAATCCTTGGCAGTACCAATTTCCTCCAATTTCGGCCAATTTGTGACACTTTCCCGTTGGTATAGACATAGCCTCGCTCAGTCCATTGATGCGTGTTAGGTTTGCGGGCGCTGACGGTAGAAACGTTGGACGTTTTCTAAAACGAGGCTCGTCCGTGGGTCTATTACGAAACATGTTATTAATACTTTAAATATTTCAGGTTCACCCAGGTACAAAAGTATAAATATGTTTGGGTGATGGGTCATGTATGCTTTCTAAAACGAGGCTCGTCCGTGGGTCTATTACGAATCATGTTATTAATGCTTTATATTTATCAGGCTCACCCAGGTACAGAAGTAAAAATATGTTTGGTAATGGGTCATGTATGCTTAGAGTACCTACATTTGGTTTCACTGTTTTTAAATTTGGTAAAATATGACACTAAGGCCGGCTAGAAACATTTAGGGCAGTGTCGTTTTCTGCTAAAACCAGATCTTCACGTTAATAATTGGTAGATGAGATACATTCTTTGGTTAAGCAGGGATAGGAATGAGATAATTAATTTTTCAGATCATGGACTATATAAAAAATACAAGTAACATCCTACTATGGTATTTTTTAGGCGTTTTAAAAATCTCTCATTAAAAAAATTAAAAACTAAAAGAAAACGCAGATAGCAGTGCTTTATCTTCTGCTCACACAAATATCTACTTTCTTTTTTTGAATGCTATACAGTTGATGTAGTTTCCGTAATAGTCTAAGTGCTTAACTGACAGGGAATTAAAACAGAAAGTATGAAGATGTTTAATACTCGCATTTTCTTAGTGCTAATCAATCAAATTCAAGTGTAATCATACCATTACATTCTGCTCTGTATATTAATAGTATATTTTCAGCTGTATTATTAAGGTCGTTCATTTTAATTTTCATTCGTCTAACCTCAGATAAGAATGGCGAAAAGTGTTATCAAGCCTTATCAATAAGAAGTGATCGTGACAAAAGTTCCGCATGTGTGACTAGACTATACAATAATATTATGCTCGTGCGTTTTGTACGTCTACAGAGACTGAATTTCTCGGTGACTTTTTCCTCCACAAAATTTATGTCGTATCTCGGTACGCGCTTGCCAACGGATTGGTTACGCTTACGAAATTCATGTGACCGGATCCTGTAACTTGAAGGAAAGTAGTTTTTTGCCGCACTTTCCTTGTGTAGTTATCCAGACGTGGCAAAAATACAACGTGTCTATATATTAATTTGGACGCGAATATTACAATAAGTAACTATGCGCGAATAATATTAAAACGACTAGTTCTTGGATAAAAATAATATTGAGATGGACGTATTAGCAGTAACGTAAAAACGTGCTTGTCGTTGGATATGAATTATTTATTTGTTATCACAATTATTAGTAGAGTCTATAATTTTGAGTACCAATCCATTAATTATTTGTCTCTACCTTGCTTGCTATTGGCTCCATAGTAGCTGCATCATTTTCATATATTCTATCAATCTGACCGTCCGATGGGAGTAATGTTTACCAAGTGTTTAAAGGAAGTACCTCACACTAGTAAAAGAACCGAGGAAGGCCCAGCTTTATTGAAATATGCAATTTGTAGCTACGACTGCATTTGCCGCTAAAGTACATCAACTAAACCTTCAGTTATTCAGTTATTATGCCCTGTACAGTGTACACCCTTACCATTTTAGGAGCAAACATGAAGTGAACCTATAATTATTTAAGAAACTAATTTGTAAAAATTCTTCCACGCCTCATACCTCATAGATAACTAAAAATAAGAGCACCTCTCATGGTTTCAACAGATGATAAGACGCGGGTAACTGTTACACGAGTGCATTGCATATTGAAAATTTCCACTACGTTCATGGCATGCTTCACCATTTAAAGCAGTGGTTCCCAAACTTTTTCAGGCCGGCGCCCCCTTTATAGCTCCCTAGTGAATTTCTAGCGCCCCCCACAGACACATATAAAAACATACGCCTCTTCCTTGAAATTTAGTACGCTGCAATTTTAAAGTATAACTGTTATACACAATGTGTATTTCACAAATAGAACCCCATTCAGTGAACCAATATGTTTTTCAGCTGTTTCAACTGTTTCAGCACGAGAAACCTAGGACCTCTCGGGCGAATTTACGGGCGGACTCGTGGCCGGTCTCACGACCAATCTCAGTATTCAATTATCAAGTAATATCTCCCAAACTAATGAACGCAGCTCAATGAAATTTTTTTTTTAAAAAGGCCTCCCACACTCACCATTCAAACACAAAGGAATTAATTTTATTTTATTAATTAAAAACAGGGAATGATTTCATGTCAATGATCAGGGCCCCGACCTTATACGCCTCTGATGGTGGCCTACACCGACTCCGAGGGTCACTGAGCTGTGACGCGAGCGAGGAGCGGGCCCACGTCGAACTTTTCTCTGACTGCTGTTAGGATGCTAGCTGCATTGCCTCTCTGCACAGCCAAACCCAACCTTTGCTCCAACCATAGAGTCTCTCTACGTTCGCCGGACAATTCCGTAATGCGACGGCCAATCTGTGATATTAAAAGACCAGTCATTTCACCATATGTGCCGGTCGTTTCTAATGCGACTGGCTCGAAACGATACCGAGCTGCCAACGCCGCGTATTTACGTCTCTTGCTATCCTCCGCCGCACGAGCCGCGAACCCAGCAGAAATAGCCGAATTATTGACGTGCGACTCAGCAAAAGTGNAGATATTCCTTGATCATTGAATTTGGAAATTGGCCGTGAGACCGGCCGCGAGTCCAGCCGTTAATTTATCTGAGACGTAAACACAGGAGAGTTTAAAAAACAGATACGAGTGAAAAAATCATCGCTGGGAGTCATGTGCTGCACGTATTGTGTACAAATCGTCAAACAAACGTTCGAACTTCTGACTTCGACTTCGTATTGCGCCACCCCCCCTACCGCCCTCTTCTTCCTTATCGGCCTTTAAAAATTTTTCCACCACCCCTACGGGGGCGATATCGCCCACTTTGGAAACATGCACTGACTTAAAGCTATGTAGAAGCAATACGTACATACTACATGGTTATTACCCAATTTCGGGGTCCGGTGAGTTGCTTTTCCAGGTATCCAAGGTGCCGGAGAGTGACGTCATGACGAGTAGCAACCACGGGAGAGCGATCCATGCTTTGCGTGAGCACCGAAGATGTTTTGTGTGCATACTCAATAATTATGATTTATATGTCTGTCTTAATAATTATGAATTATATGTCTTTACGTAATAGAATCAACTAATAGCTGACTGGATGGAAAATAATTTGGAACAATAGGTGAAAAAGATACGAAGTGATTCGGGTAATTTTCAACAGTCCTGTTACTAAGGGTAGCAATTTGAAACAATCTCAGAATTTTTCGATATCATCAAATGCAAAATTTTTTTTAATACATGACGCAATAGATTTAGTTTAATCCCTCATATTGATCACTCATCGCGCAAACCACGCTCATTGTTGGTTTGAAAACTTGTAGTCGATTATTTCCAATTTCAAAATGCTTCAATTTTTAAAATTTATGTATTAGGCTTTCGCAAATTCGTGTTGGTTATGGTGTAAACTTTAATTTTAGGAAACAAATGTGTATAGTTTTACGTGGTGCGGAGATTTCCTCGCACCACCCGTGAAGCCTGCAGATTGGCTCGATGTTCTTTGATCAACCAATATTACACTCAGGCACAAGGAAAATTTTGCTGAAATTCTTCTGGTTTGAGGCGAGATTTCCGGCATAAATATATTCCTTGATTGCTAGTCTTCTGGTGATTGAAGTTATCTTTGCACTCCTGTCAAATAGATCGTATGCTATGAACACGCAATACAGCGAAAAAATGCTCTAAATACATTTAGGACCCTCGCTTGTGTCAGAATATACACGTGTAATTCGATGTCACCACCGTGTGCTTTGCAATGATTATGTAATTGTATTTTGTTATTTTATATATTTTATAAAATTTTGTAATTTTGTTTTATATTTTGTTATTTTTATTATATGTTTATATTTTTGTGAACAAGTTTAAACTTGTTTACAAGCAGTGATGGGCTGCGCTAACCGAAAAGTTAGCTCCGATAACCGTTAATCCGCTAAATGAAAAGTTAGCTTTTTTTATTAAATTATTATTAGCTGAAAAGTTAGCTTTATTTGCTAAACCGACAAATCGCCGAAAATTTTAGCTAAATTTACCGTCAATCGCAAACTTTTAGTATATCAATTAAGCTTTAGCTTAATTTTTTTTTTGGGGGGGGGGTCGATCTGAAACTTTGAAAAACCGAACTACGGCGCTGAATTTTTGCCATGTCGTAGCGTTGACAAGGAGTTTTTGAAAAACGTGTAGCATGCCAATATCTAATGATGATCAAGATGTGCATAAATAATTAAATGAACAAATTAAATTATGCCGTAATTTACATTCAATATACAGTTTATTAGGCGAATAAGAAGTATTAAACGAATAAGAAATATTAAGAAATAAAAACACACAGGCAGGGTTACACACTGCTCTTGCTCAGGCTTGCCCTTTATCTCCTATAGAGATGATGATTGTTGCCCTCGATGAACATCAGCCTCTCTGCCCTTGATGAACATCAGCCTCTCTGCCCTTGATGAACATCAGCCTCTCTGCCCTTGATGAACATCAGCCTCTCTGCCCTTGATGATCATCAGCCTCTCTGCCCTTCATGAACATCAGCCTCTCTGCCCTTGATGAACATCAGCCTCTCTGTCCCTTGATGAACATCAGGGTAGACACAAGACGTGATTGGTTGACGTACATATGTTGACTTGCCATCAGTGTGGCACGATACTTAGCATTAAATATTAACACCTGAATTTTCTATCAGAAGAGATTTTTAAACATTTTTATCGGACTGCCAGTTAGCGGAACTAAATTTAGCGGAAGCTAATTGGACCGCTAATGGTTTTCAAAGTTATCTGAGAAGCTAATCCGATAAGGAACAAGTTAGTTTCGCTAATTAGCGGTTAGCGGAAGTGTGCCCGCCTCTGTTTACAAGCACACCAAAGAATGCTAATTTCTTTCATCATTTTTGATACTACCAAGTCCCAAGCTATTTAGCTTCAATTCAGTTTTGAATAAAACTGGTCAAAAGGCCAGTACCAAGAAAGGCCATGGAGCATTATGGGAATGGGAGAAATGTCAACCGGCCTATTCTTCAACGCCGATATTACTGTTAAATTTGCTGAACTTATAATTAGCATGCAAATTTTAAGTATTTCATGCATAGGTAATAGAGATTGTATTATTCAAATTTGTTAAATTAGAGGGAAAAACGTTTATCAGAAGCGGTAGAAGACATAGTTTATTGGACGATATAAGGAGGCATGGTATATCAGATGCTGTAAAGAGACATTGTTTATCAATTGCTATAAGAAGAAATTTTTTATAAGATGCTGCAGAAGACATGGTTCATCAGTTGCTGTATTGATACATTGTTTATAAGATGCTTTATATATAAGGAGGCATGGTTCATCAGTTGCCAGGCATGGTTTATCTGTCACCGACATGTGGAACAGCCTCCCTGACAGCATTGTTGACTCTCCGAGTATGAACGCCTTCAAGAACAGACTAGACGAAGCTATGCACGAGCATATGTTCAGTCTTAAAATGCCTAGCAAATTACGGACCAGGCAATAAGTCCAGCAGCTATCTCAATCAAACGTCATTTATGGTAAGATCGGGTTCAAAAGACCGGATCCCTTGAGGAATTCAGTCACGAAAAATTTAAGAATCGGCAACAGGCCATGGGCCTATTTCTTCAGTGCCGACACTTTTATTCTATTATATTAGGAGACATGGTCTATAAGATGCTGCAGAAGATATGGTTTAATAGACGATATAGGGATGCATTGTTAATAAGATGCTGTAATTAAGAAGACATGGTTTCATCAGAAGACATGGTTTATCAGATGCTGTAAGGAGAAATTGTTCATCACATGCTGTAATTAAGAAGACATGTTTCATCAGAAGACATGGTTTTTGAGATACTTTGAATAGACATGGTTTATCAGATGCTGTAAGGAGACATGATTTTTTCAGATGCTGTGAGGAGACGTGGTTCATCAGATGCTTTAAAGATATATGATTTATCAGAGGCTTTATAGCTGGTAAGTAATACACAATTTATTAGAAGCTGTATGGCTGGTAATTAATACACAAGGGCATTAACAGGCTTTAGCCGTCGAATCTACTTCATTAATTGTACAAGGATGCGTATGACTAAGTTTTAGGTGTTATCTTAAATGGCCCGCAACTGCAACAAATGCTGTCATAATTACTCATGCAACTTCGACGTCAGGCGAGCTGACTCTCATTGTATATCCAAGATACCTTAAAATACGGACATAAACATTCATTTCAGAGTACTATAACTAAGCCGTCTCTTTGCGACGTAAAATTTAAACTAAAGTAACCCCATATTGAACCCGGTGGAAGTCTAGTAGCTATTTGAAACTATTCGTCAGTCATGAAAAGATCCGGTCAAATGACATGATATTAGATATTCTGTGAACAAGGCACGATAAGGAAAAGAATCGGCGACAGGCCACATCAGGCCTACACTTCAGCGCCGAGATCAATATCATCAATATGTTATGTTATGTTATGTTATGAGATTTATTTTAATGAATGTGTGTCTAGTCAACGGTTACTCGGAATTTCTTAAGTCTTATTAATGCAAAATTGATTCAAACCAGCCTATTTTTAGCGCATTTTCTCATTTATGGAAAAATGCACAAATTGTTCTCGTCATGTCCGTCCGTCTGTCTGTCCGTCCGTGACTTCACATTTTTCGTCGACGAGAAAATGCGCTCTCTGTCACTCACTGGCGTGAGTACTGAGTTATATTTTTTCAATAAATCCTCGCTTAACTAATTTAACATTTTTTTCCATTCTCTACATCTTTATTTTAACATAATTATTATCACGTTTTTTTTCTTGACTTCGTTTCGTGCGTGTCTGTCATCAAAAATTCAAACCTTAATTTAGAGTACTTCTAAACATCCTGGTGAGTTGAAATTTGGCATGCATGTTTATGCTACCTAACAATTCAAGATTTGATCATCAGAAATAATAATTTAAAAAATTTTTTTATTTAAAAAATAAAATAAACACTAAAAATTCACGGTTTGGAATTGAGTTTTTTCTCGAACATCCACACTTGCCAACCCTGGAAATTGATTTGAATTGCTAAAATTGCTAACTAAAAAGTAGAAACTAAATAAATCTAAAAAATAATTTTTAAAAACCTCGTTTTTCTGGTTTTTACAAAACTAAAAATAGTGAAATAAAATAAATAAAGCAAACTTTTAAAAACCACGTTTTCTTAACGGACAAAAAAGAAAAACATTTACTCTTACACAACATTACATAACATTTTACATAACTTGAATGTTATGTATGAGTAAATGTTTTTCTTTTTTGTCCGTTAAGAAAACGTGGTTTTGAAAAGTTTGTTTTATTTATTTTATTTTCCATCAATTCCTTACCCAATTTTTATTCACAGAAATAAACGTTCAGGAATTGTGTGGAAAAGTATGTTCTGTGCAGAAACAGGAGCAATGAAACTAAAGTAATTAGACTCAAATGAATGGAGATTGAATTTCTCGTTTATTAAAAACAGTAGAAAACGATCCTGAATAATGCAACCATTAATAAGTATATAAACATAGATGCTTTATAATCGGATAGACCCATGTCAGCTCGTAAGTTTGGTGGATGCGAGATCTTTGATTACGAAATCAAAATCATTTTTTGTGGATCCATTAACAAAATTAAGAATGTTTTATCACTACCTCATTTTGCTACTTAAAATCAAGAAGAGTTGACTGATGCAATTAACGTATGTGACTCCAATTCTGTTTCTGTGTGACATCAATTCTGTTTGTTTTGCCAATTCGCAAATAAACGCTTCTCTGCTCCTCGTGAGCTTGATTGCGCTACGTCTTTAGTTCGGTCCGTGCTTAAACATTTTTTCTTTTAAGAACACGGGAACCGTAATTTAAAAGTCAACACTAAAATGAGCCATCAACCAATTCATCAAGTTAGATACTTGACCCTCGAAAACGTATTGAAAGTCCCAAATTGCGTCTGTACGGCATTAGAAAGCAGCCGTGATGATAACTTAACACGGAATGAATTGCCTGACAGGCAGAAAAATTCTAAATGCCTCTTGTGCATTTAGCTTTAGTGTTCAGATTGCATGGAAGTTTTTCAAAACCATTTGACTCATTTACCTTGATAGCTAGCAAAAATTCAACATTTCCAGGAGGAAGTTCTACCCAACATTTTTTTTAATAACAAGTTCCCCGTTTTTTAGCCAGAATTTCATGTGCCGATAAAACAACAACACTGTGCAAGTCCATGCGATCGTTTCATATTGTATAAATAGTACAGTACAGTACTACTATTACTATTTTTATACTATGCACAGTACAGTATAGTACAGTGCACTACTGTTCTGTACATTGTAGTACAACACAGCACAACATTAGAATTAATATAGCATATAATGGCTTGGTTGTATTGAAAAAATCACAACATCTGATCGACTGCTGTGTGACACGAAATCTGCGTTTATCCCGGGTAATAAGTATGAATGACGATTTAATATTACTGTGATGGTGAATTATAATATACGATAATAGAATACCTCATATTAAATTGAGGTGCATCTGAAATTAGTGAACTCGAATCTAAATTACATTGGCAAGATTCGTTTACAATTCATGAGTGCATCTAACTGACGAACTTCCAAACCCACCAATACAAAGCTATGGATTTATTTTACTTTCACCGTGAGTTATACGGGAATAATTGGGTTAAGAAATATTTAATAATGTTATACTGTATTGAACAACATTCAATACAATTTAAAACATTTCGTGACATCAGCATTTTATAATAAAATGGTAACTTCTTATAAAATTTTAACAAGGATCAACTGCCTAAGATTTTTTCGATATATTTATTGTTTAATGAGCCTCGACAATAACCTTATTAAATGAAAAGTTGTTGTAAAATAATCAAAGGAATTTTTAATTTGAGATTACAATAATTAACAGTTCTAATCAGTACAATGCATGGCAGCCAGTGCGTATAGTTTTGAACTGCCTGGTCTTTCATTTTGAAAATTAGATATCATATACCTAAATTTTTTCGAATTAATTAAGTTAATTACTGACCATTTGCAATACATGCCCTTCTCATACCGTTTGGGCACGCAGTTTTGTTGTTAATTTCGATCAAAATTGTGCGTCCGACAATAAATACAAATTATAAAAATTTAGAGCAGTCGAAGTCGATCCCGACTCAATGCTTGGTTGCGTATACGCTCGTTGACCCAGAGCACGTCGCTGCAGCACCAGCCTCCCCACTCGGGCTCATCTATCCAGCGTTGAAGGTTGTTGACCGTGGCGCGCACCCTCCGGAACCCTGCGTTCTCCAGCTCACTTAGTCGGGTGTTATTTAAAATGAGATTATGTCCCTGTCACACGCAGTTTGACGCTGTCAATGTTGACGTTGCTTAAGGGAAGCGCATGTTTTTAAGGGTAGACATCGTGAGATGTAGGATGCTTTAGTTTATTGGTATTGATATTAAAATGTAGGGGGCATTAGGATATTCTGGTTTTGAAAATTAGATATCATATACATATATTTGCGAATCAATTAAGTAAATTACTGATCATTTGCAATACATGCCCTTTTCATAGAGTTTGGGCACGCTCCTAGTGAAAATCATGGGCCGATTAAAACTAGTTACCACTTTTTTCTTGACTTCGTTTCGTGTGTGTCTGTCATCAAAAATTCAAACCTTAATTTAGAGTACTTTTAAACATCCTAGTGAGTTGAAATTTGGCATGCATGTTTATGCTACCTAACAATTCAAGATTTGGTCATCAGAAATAATAAATAAATAAAATTTGTTTTTTTTTTAAATTAAAAAGTAAAAAAAAAACACTAAAAATTCACGGTTTGTAATTAAGTTTTTTCTCAAACATCCACACTTGCCAACCCTGGAAATTGATTCGAATTGCTAAAATTGCTAACTAAAAAGTAGAAAATAAATAAATAAAAAAAAATATTTTACCACGTTTTTCTTAGCTCGCTTTCGTGTCCCTCTGTCTGTGATGATCAAATCTTGCAATAGATATTTCACCAACTTTCCCGCTAGCTAGCACTCTGAAACTTTTAGGGAAGCTCAGCTCCCGATAACAATACAATAATCAATAATTTGTTGCACGTTTCCAGGCGTATTATTACCGAACCATTCTTTATTACAGCCACGCACCCAGATAAATACGGGAACAACAATGTTTCCCCTCGAATACAATTATCTACAGAACTTCGAAGAGAATTTTCTTTCGTGCATTTGCGTGGCCAACTGAAATAAAATTAATATTATGTAGGATGGTTGACCTTTTTGCAGTAGTTATAAACTCTAAAGGAACTCACATGCAGGGGTTTGGGAACCTTTAAATGCACGTCATCCTCGAGAGGATATTCGTGTTTAGACTGCGTATATCGATGATACGCTGCGTATCATCGATACGTACGTCAAGTCAAGTAAATTGGCTCGCAACAACGTTTTTCATGTGTAGCAACGGACTAAAAAAAAGGAGAAAATATAATACTTAAAAAAACTAAAAAGTAGAAAATAAAATGCATAAAAAAATTTTTAAAGACCACGTTTTTCATGTGGACTCAAAAGTAGAAAATAATTTTACGGCAGCTACTGATCTCTGTTTGCTTTCATTCTCTTGGTCTTTTGTATTTCAGTTGAAATATTTTACAACATCTAAAACAAAAAACGTGGTAACGTGGTCTTTAAAAATTTTTTTATGCATTTTATTTAAGAACCACGTTTTCTGGTTTTTACAAAACTAAAAATAGTGAAATAAAACAAATTGAAAAAACTTTAAAAAACCACGTTTTCTTAACGGACAAAAAAGAAAAACATTTACTCTTACATAACATTACATAACATTTTACATAACTTAAATGTTTTATAAGAGTAAATGTTTTCTTTTTTTGTCCGTTAAGAAAACGTGTTTTTTTAAAGTTTTTTTTATTTGTTTTATTTTGGTGTTAATTTCGAGCCAAATTGAGCGCCCGACAATAAATACAAATTTAAAGAATTTAAAGCAGTCGAAGTCGATCCCGACTCAACGCTTGGTTGCGTATACGCTCGTTGACCCAGAGCACGTCGCTGCAGCACCAGCCTCCCCACTCGTGCTCATCTATCCAGCGTTGAAGGTTGTTGACCGTAGCGCGCACCCTCCGGAACCCTGCGTTCTCCAGCTCACTTAAGATCTCGTACGCGAGCTGTCAATAATGGCAACGTATGTAAAAGTAATCATCTGAATGTATGCATTGTTCTAATGCTAACCGATGTTAAATTTAAAGGTCATAACCTACAAAACTCATGTTAATTTGGCGAACAGAATTCAATGTTTTTAGAAGCTTATTTGAGTTTGGTAATACCGTACAGTTTCGTACGTACTACCGTAAACACAAGATAATAATCTAGGAAGTCGCGTGAAGAGCGATTCAAGTCTTTCCAGAAATTATGAATTTAGTTTGAGGACATGGTCTTTATGGATTCTTAGGATGAAGGATTTATATTCCTATAGGGGATAAAGATTCCTAGAACGACTTGCAGAAGAATTCTTGACAACCTCGGAAAGACCCAAACCTCTGAGAATTACCGGATAATTTGTTTAATCTGGGTACAAAATAGATCACCAGAAGCCATATCAATTCAAAATAAAGAAACTGCATGGAGTGCCAAGAGACAGCACTTCTTGGATCGTGTTATCGATCAGTTAAATGTACGGCCAGCGAGGTACCAAAAGGTATACTCTCAATAGATGCATGGCTTTACTGTATATGTAACATAGGGCTATACTGTATGTATGACTATACTGTATGTATGGCTATGACTATACTGTATATATGGCTATACTGTATGGCACGGTTATACTGCAGGTGTGCTATAATGTATTACAATTAATTTTGCCTTGTTGAATCAATGTAACGCAGCACAAACCTTGTTGCGCTGGATATATAGTTCAGATGCATGACTCCCACTCCTTCCAGAAGTTGTGGATCTCCATGTGTAGTTGCCACACGTTCTCCAGTAAGCCCGAGTCAAATATGTTAGGTAAAACCTATGGATGACATACAAACAATTCGACATAACAACGCTGATGAATTTCCTTGATGTACTATTGGTGCATTGGAGTATCTTTCGGCCTTCTATCCAGATCATCTTTCGGTGCGAACTCATGAATGACAAGGTTGAATAATCATTACATTATATCTAGTGAGTATATATTCCATCACAAAAAGTAGTGCAGGAACTTGTGGCAGCTATCAAATTTGGCACGTAATGAATTAAGCGTTAGTTTGGCTTGTGTGAATTTTATTAGTTAAATTTGAATTTTTACGATATAAATATTCACTGTTCACTTCTTACAAGTTGCACTAACATGATATTCTTGTTCCTCGATGTCGATCTTGAGGTAGTGCACCTGGGCGCCGACGTGACCGTTGGCCGCGAGAGCGTCTTTGTACGTCACCAACGTCCGGCCGTCGTCGTCGACGTGGCTGACGTTGGCGATGCCCCACGGCCGGTGGACGAGGCGAGGTCCGAAGAAATCCTGTGACCGAATTCGTTACACTTATTCAAAAGACCGATCATCTCATATTACTAAATTGGTTATGTAATAGCATGAGAAGAATGTGATAATTTCAATATTCTAATAGACTAAAAATAATGAAGGCAAAACGATTAGAAATTTCATTCTAAATTATAGGAAGTACAACGTTCTGAAGTGTTAAGAATAGAATAGAATAGAAGTGTCGGCGTTGAAGAAATAGGCCCGGCCATGGCCTGTTGCCGATTCTTGAACTTTTCGTGACTTGATTCACAAGGGATCCGGCCTTTGGAACCCGATCTTTCCATAGTTGACGATTGCTTGAGTTAGCTGCTGGACTTGTTGCCTGGTCCGTAATTTACTAGGCATTTTAAGACTGAACATATGCTCCTGCATAGCTTCGTCTAGTCTGTTTCAGAGCGACAACGATGCTATCAGGGAGGCTGTCCCACATGTCGGTGACTCGAAGCGAGAAGAAATGTTGTCGCATGGATGTGTTCCAACGCTGTTTTTTTAGTTTATAGCCGTGGCCCCTAGTGTTGGTTCTTGTTTCAAATTCTAGTAATCCTTCTGGCACCTTGTAAAAGCCATGAGTATACTTGTATGTATACTTCAATGAGGTCCCCACGCAGACGTCGATAACGGAGGCTTGGAAGCTTCATAATCTTTAATCTATCCTCATAGGACTTGCCTTTCAAACCCGGAACTATCCTTGTTGCGCGTCTTTGAACACTCTCTACTAAATTTTTGTCATTTTCAAATTTCGGTGACCACACGTTTTCAAACTCTAGGTTCGGGTGCGCGACAGCAACAAACAATTGCTTCATTGTTTCTGCATCTAGGAACTCGAAAGAGCGTCTGATCAGTCCAAGTCGTTTATTGGCTTTATTAACTTGACCTTCAATATGCTTAGAAAATTTCAACTCATTGTCGATATTAACTCCTAAATCCTTTTCCGTTGTCGACTTCGACATCATTAATCTGGGGTGGAAGCCGTCTGGTCCACATGACTTGTTTGGATTTACAGCGATAAGGCGCTTGAGAAACTCTTCTTCTTGTATTTCAAAGCTTGTTAATTTAGAGCCGACTGGGCGCTCCTCAATTGCTGGAATACTGTTCAAGTCCTCTTCAGGGAATACGCTACTGAAAAAATGATTAAGAACGTTGGCTTTGCCCTCATCAGAGGATATCTTTCGCTGATCTACTTTCAAATCAGAAATAGCGTCCTTCATCTTGCACTTCGAGCTAGCGTACAAAAAGAAGGCTTTCGGGTTCTTTTTTGCATTTTTAGCAATACTTTTTTCGAGGGTTTTTACTGGTTAAGTTGTCAAGTTGTTTACTGTTTAAGTTGTTTCCTGAATTAGAAATTAGTACCCGCACTAATCTGAAGAAAAGAAGCTGCAGATTAGGAAACCTATGCAAACTTCCGTCTGCTAGCATAGTTCATGAACAAATTTCAACTGGATTAAACTTTAAACCATATTTTTTCCATTCCATTGTCTGGGTGTGGTTGACAGTGTGGTCGTGCAGGAAGACGTGACAGCCCCAGAGGTCGGACATGATCTTCTCAAATGTGATGTCGTTGCCGACACCAAACGAGTAAATCAGGCACGAGTTGTAGGCGGGTGTGTACCACGGGTCCAAACATACCTGATGTACAAGTAATTAATAATTCCTAAGTTTAGGTACGATAATTCCTACAGTATTTTGCCTGCGAAATGCTTAAACAAACATTAAAAGACTGCATGCCTGTGCAGAGCGTGATACTTTTCTCCATACACCAGCTATAATCCTAGTAATCATTAATAAGTTTCTGTATATTTACTAGTACTAAAATTGTTTGCTTGAGAGCAGACTTGGTAAACACAACTGCACGTGGTTGAAATGAACAAAGCGGGCAAACAATGCTTACCCGGTGCAATTAGTGACGCCAACATTCAAGAGCTGTAAATTCGGAAAAAAATGTGTAACTGCTACAGGTTAGACCAACAGTAAAATGTGCAACTTCCAAAGGTTAGACCGCGGTTCAAAACCATGCTGATGTTCACTAATGGTTACGCTTTAGTTTAAAACTCATCATTCATATAAATGTTTTCTTACAAAATTTGAAATCCCTAATGCCAAATTGCAGCCGGAATCTTCGTGTTAATCGCGGAATTGCTGTGTCAACAACGATCAAACAAAATTAGTATCTGAACAGGAATATCATTCCCGGTATTAGAACAGTGTTATCTGTAATTAAACATCATAGCCTAGGCTTGACCAGAGTCAGAGGTAATTTAATTTTGTGTAAGCAAGCTATATATAATAGGCATCAGGACTCATCCTCGAACTTCTTTACTGGTCCAGATCTCAGTATTGGTGCATGGAAACCTTTCCTTCACGTTACTTCGAATCAGCATACATTTTCTACAGTAGCAGGTTGAGGCCTTGATAAAAACAAAGCACTCGAGGTTCCTCACATCTTTGTCTCCATCAAAGGCTCTACACATCCAGGTCCCTCCGATATCCGCCAGTTTATCGCAGTGCCCCGTCGGGATCTCCAGAAGTTCATTCAAGTCCCAGACGTTGGTCAGCGCAGGCAGGGTAGTCGAGTGAGGACTGACAGGTCGTCTTCTAAATGGTAGTGGATCCGTCAGTCTAAAAATACGAATATAAATTAATCTTCAATAAGTTTTTTACTCATAGAGTGGTAATGGATAAACTCATAAATAAACATGGTAGGTCTTTATTCAATCAGAGTCTCGCAGCGAAATTCAATCGGTCGATGTAATTCATAGGAACTTACAGTGTGCTTTCACGCATAAATCCATGCAAAGAAATAAAAAGGGGTAAAATATTGTTCATAGTTGAATTATTCAACTTTTGATAATCATAGTCTCATTTCCTGATCATTCTAGCCAAAATTCATCATTTTATACTTGTATTGTTCAGAAACTGAGCTCATATAAGCTACGTATGTCATGCTTTAAAATAATATTCAAAGTTAAAATATTGACTAACCAGCAAGATAGCCGACGTTAATCCCATTAAAACAAATACAATTAATGCTTGCTAATTAAAGCAAGTCCAGTTCAAAGTTACAATTCACATTTTACAAGGAATTCCCGCTCAACTCCTTTTTATAATACGAAAAAAATATTTTTGACTCTTCAAATTAAGTTATCAAATTTTAATTTTTAGTCAAATCTTTGCTTCCTTCAAATCTTTGCTCAAAATAAAAATTTCGAGCTGATGTGTATCGTGGGTGCGCATCCTGACATGTATATATGCAGTGACATGACTCAAACAAGCACACACGCACACACAAATAAAATATAACAAATAATTATATATCTATAAGAGCTTACTTCAAATTAATAAAATACTTAAAAAAAAAACTTTTTAAAAAACCACGCTTTTCTTGTGGACTAAAAAGTAGGAAATAAATTATGGCTCGCCCCAAAAAACGTGTGTCTGGCAGTTTTATGATTAAAGCGAAAGGCACACAACACACGAATTTTGGAAATTTGATGGTGAACGTACAGCCCGACCCACGTTTTTTGAGGCGAGCCATAATTTATTTCCTACTTTTTAGTCCACAAGAACAACGTGTTTTTTAAAACAGTTTTTTTAAGTATTTTATTTTCTCCTTTTTATTCCGTTGCTACACATGAAAAACGTTGTTGCGAGCCAATTTACTTGACTTGACCCACATAATATTCATTTTATTTCAGTTGGCCACGCAAATGCACGAAAGAAAATTCTTTTCGAAGTTGTATAGAAAATTGTATTCGAGGGGATACATTGTTGTTCCCGTATCTATCTGGTAAATTTCCAAAATTCGTGTGTTGTGTGCTTTTCGCTTTAATCATAAATCTGCCCGACCCACGTTTTTTGGGGCGAGCCGTTTTTTTCTACTTTTTAGTCCACAAGAAAAACATGGTTTAAAAAAAAAAAATTTTTAAGTATTTTATTTTCCAGTTACGTCATTCACAATGAACTTCATTCTTAGGAATGCGTATATTCCTGCAATTATTGACAGAATTTAACAGTAGATATCCCAGATATACCCAAGTGATCACTAAGTGGAGACGATAATACTAGGCTCATTCCATACATCGCCTAAGCTAATAAACTAAATTTAGCAGTGGGATCGAATTCCATCCACTAAGATGAATAATTTCCTGCTAGTAAGTCATTATGATTCAATTTAAAATGTAAGTATCTGGCTTCCTTGATGCTCACATACGGCATCATTCTTTGGTGATTCTTGTCTTCTTCTAGAATCTAGAGCAATGCAAATGTGACGGAACGCGACTTTTGTGAAAAATATTTATATAAACGTAGTATTGGCTGGACTTGGAAGATTCAACTTCATTTAAGGATTCGAGTTTTGATATTATATATTGCGTTTGAATACCACTTAGTAATGCGTGAATATATTTATTTTATGACTTGGATTTGAAATCTTGTTTAACTGTAATATTATTTTGTTAATTCATACGATTTAGTAATTAGCGTCTTGGGACGAGCCTTAATGACTTGTAGCTACATCGTGATTGGTTGAGTCAGCTGGTAGCCTCGAACGGGTGCGCGTTTATTCCCCTCGGTGGTCTTGGACGATGGAGAGCTCAGTCTCCTCAGAATTGATTCGACTAATAACTTGTGATTAGTTCGCCAAAGGATTAAAACTATGGTTGCTATATTGTATTGTATTATATTGTTTTTTGTGCCTATATTATGAAGCTAGTCCATTTTGTTGCGCTGTAAACTAGGTACTATTGTGATGTCACTTTACTTGAGTTATCCATTGCGGGCGAATTGTGTGTGCTCAGTGGAACTGGGTGGGGGCCCGGTCGTCTTGACTCTAATGGCGAGAGCCAGATCTGAGCTTCCGAGACCCACCCTTAGTTCTGGAGATATCACGGGAAGATATCCCCTATAGAGGAGTAATTTCGGCGCTGTTGGATTTCTTGGCTAGTTTCAGTTGCTGGTAGCGCTCTAGCACGGATTATTCCGGTGCCGAGCACGTCTCGTGTCGTGGGGACTAATAACTTCCACACTCGAGTAGAGTATGTATATCAGCGTTCTGTTTCAGCATCTGCCGTACCGTTTGAGCTTCTCGTTTCGCGGGAATTAATACCTTCCACGCTCGGGAGTAATCGGAATTTGGCACTGTCTTAATGCTCGTACCCTCGGTCATTGCAGCTGGTTGTTAGCATTGTGATTCAGCTCATACCTGTACCCTTGCTGTTCATTTTTGTGTTTTTGGCAGTGTATTAGGGCTCGTACTCCAGATCATTACAACTTGTCAGCATTGTGGTGCAGTATGAACCTGTACCCTTGCTATGCTATCCGCTTTTGTGGTTCTCGACAATGTATTGGGACTCATCAACGTTGTATCCCTGAAGTTGAGATTCTGTCGCCCGGAGCTTATGGACTTTTAGCGAATAATAAAATGTGTGCCCTTGTACAGTAGAATTTGCGCATCGCCTGAAGATCACCAATTTACTACGAAAAGTTCCTCCTGTTCATTCCTCCTCTCTCCAACGCAAGGTAATTTAGAGCCGGACCAAAGAGCGATATTTTAGTCCTTGTATTTAAACCAATAAAGAAGTCACCACCAAGTCAGCACGCTACCCGTAATTATTTCGACTTCGCGGCGGTGTTTCCGGTTGCACTAGGATGCAACCAAACTCCACATTACCGAAGCGATGAGTTGGTTGTTGCTTGAGCTATGCTAGGATGCAACCAAACTCCTCATTACAGTGGCGTACGTTGAGTTGGTGTCTGCTTGAGTTATGCAATGACGCAACCAAACTATTCATTACCGTGGTGATGAGTTGGTTGTTGCTGGAGCTATGCAATGCTGCAACCAATTTATCCATGTCATGGTCGTTGCTTGCGCAATGCAATGAAGCAACCAAACTATTCTATTCATTATCGTGGTAATGAGTTGGTTGTTGCTTGAGCTATGCAAGGATGCAACCAAACTATTCATTACCGTGGCGATGAGTTGGTTGTTGGTCCACCGTTGGAGTAGGTCGGCTACGTTCACAGCACGGCGCCCTCGAGTGGGGGCACTGGCACCCAAGCCCCACTCCGGGTTTTTACCTATTAAATGATGAATATGAATTTCAAAACATGGTTGATTAGAGAAATAAAACTTATACGCACAGCATATTTTTTCAAACTCTCTTCCATGGAGGGTGGCAGACGTACATGACCTCAACAAGGTTACCTTAAAGCAAAATTTTGCCTATATCTTAAACGCAAATGAACAAATATATCACTTTCATTCTTGCACGTCAGACTCTCAGTGTCTCGCGAGAGCAGAGCACCTCGAGGCCGCCGAGGCCGTCCTGCAGGAGGAGGGTGATAGTGCCGTAGTCTGTGTGGGCGCCGCATCCCATGGTGCCCTCAGGACGATGTGAGGGCACGGGCGGGTAGTAAAGGATCCTCATGAGGGTATGGTTGCTGGTAGGCTCCCTCTTTCTCGAGTGAGCTTTAACCAGGAAGTTGTTTTCCACTCCTGCACCGAACGACTGTAAGCACGGTAGGGAAGTTTGAGTTTATTAATTGTTGAATATGATTGAAACTCGTCGAACTCGCGGTTCATCAATACAAATGAGATCCTAAAGTAAACAAGCACCTAACTAGAGCCAAAGCAAATCCAGGGCTGAAACTGAGTTTATTTGTCTAGTGGGAGAGATTTTCCTGAGAAGTTATGCCAATGGTCCAATTATTACACAATTCAGACTAACACGCCTCTAAATCTCATTCATAGACAATTAATCGGGTCGTTTCATTTGTTAGCAATAAATTCTTGAGCCTCTCGCCATTCTCAAAATTAATGAGATGACTCACCAAGGCCAGACTGGAGAGCCAGGATGTGTTTGTCGCTGAGTTCGTCCAGCGCCGTCATGACGTGGACGACGGAGGCGCCGAAGTCGGGGATCTCTTCGTCAGGGTAGCGGTTAAAGCAAAATTCTATACATCGAAACTCTCGCGCAACTCGTGTTTCTTGGAGTCGCCTCCCAGCCTGAGTAAAGGGAACGAAAATTCGTTACGGCGAGGCACTCTACTCTAAGAGACAAAAAAAATCCTACCTTATCTACGATTCGCAAATTATCGTCAAATTCCCACCGTTGATAAGAAACTTATAGCGTCGTAGATTGTCAGATTACATAAGCGTAACATATTGTATGTTTTACATGACCATTTAGGATTCTCACTTTTGCCGGTCTACGGCAAGACAGACCGCCCAGTCTGTCGTACTTTTCCTTCACTGCCAGGGACAGTTCAAAGAACTTGCCAGTGCTGCTGAACGCTTTCTCGATCTAGAATAAAATAATTTATTTAATTAATAGAACTGTTCAGTGGAAAATGGGGCTTGCAATAATCTATTTTCTCCAATCAATCCTTCTTAATAAACACTTGGTAATCTTTGTTACCAGGGCCTCGAATACGAATGAAATGGAGTTCAAATCATGGTTTTATGTCTAATCAAAAACCACACTCTAGACAAGAAAATGTACTCATTTAACGCTAGTTATACAATGGCGCTCTTGTTTATTTATTTTCACCTAGCAAATTCAGGTTAAGAGAAGAAGTCGTATCATCACTAAACCTTATTCAAAATTACCTGGTACCAGTTGATTATTTATATTGGAATAAAACTAGTGTTTTATCGAGCAAATCAAGCTGAAATATTTCTAAGCTGCTAATAAATTAAATTGTAGCATTTATAGTCTTTTACATTGCAGTCCTTCATATTTACTGTCAACTCATGCATAATTTTATGTTAGCAAAGATTTTAATGCGATTTTATGATACACATATGTACGTCGATGATAAATGTTAATAAATCAAATAGTGAGAGGCAACGTACTTCAATAATAATTTCTACAGTTTAGTGATTTCTACTAACGAGGAGGATATGAAAGTAAAAGTGATAAAAATCACTTCATTATTAGTTCACCTACGTTATCGAATAACCGTTATATCGATCGGTATGGATTACGACGCATTATTATTGCATCCTATCTGAATAATTTATATACCATGATATTGTATAGGTCGTGCTGCAGAGGAATTGGATTAAATTTTATAATTTATGCATTAGGCTCGTGCTGAATATGTATGGTTGATTTATAATTAATCAGTGTTAGAATTGTAGGAACATTTTAGAAGTACAGGAATCGAGGTCAGAGATTGAGGGTAGGAAAGAAGTAGCAGTATGAACGTAGACTTGGGGCTGCGTCACGTGTCTTGCGTAGAGCAGCCCGGAGAACAGAAGATGTTAAATGACCGCTGAAATATCTCTCATGTGGGATGAAAGTTCTTTAGGTGAATTAATAGTAATGAAATATTTTAATGTGACCGTTGTTTATTTAGCCCAGCACCTGTGGGCTACCAATGGACATACGATGAATTTACCAGACTTTCTGGTATCCCGTGGCCGGTGATGTACACGAAGCCGATGTTGGCGCAAGCATGTGTCAGCTGCCGACCAATGCGCAGCAAATCAACCGCTGGACTTTCAGCGTCAGTAGTTTTTCCTGATAACAAATGAACGAAATTTTTCTTTAATGAACATTCATCGAATAGCTTTATCATTATTTTAGCTCGTAGGTATTCAATACTATTCGTCGTTATGAAATACTAACAAATTTAAATTGAGAGAAACTATCCATCAAATCCATGCCTATTCTTGCATATGCCAGTGAGAGCCATAAAAATTCAATTTATGAATGAAATGAGAAATTGCCACTGAACTCGACTTTCAGGAAACGGTATTTAATCTTATAGTTAAAGTGAGACCCTACAAATCACAAGAAACGATATCTATTTTCAGATATTTGTTAAGAAACTCACTAATTGTTGCGATATCCACAACAGGGATGATTCTGCAGTTCGTAGAGTTTTGTTAAGGGACCTAAAACCCGCCTCCCTTTGAGGAGCTGTCACAAAGTCATTTTTCGACGTACAGGGACGATACTTATACCGTTCGATGCGCAAGAAAACAACCTTTAAGATGAGATAAGAAACAGAAAAACTCAAAATTTTCAAATTTTAGAGTAGCCGATCCCCTTAAGCTTCAAATTCGAATTAAATAATATTATTTGCGTATCTCACAATTTATCGAATGCAGGAGCCACCATTGATCAGAGGAACCAACACAACATCTCATGGAGAGGATAAAAGGTAATACGCGATTAGCGAAATCAAATAGATTGAATCTCGTTCTAATGTACCAATAAAGTCAAAATTATTCTGACAAGTGCAAAAGACTTCGAAAATAGTGTGAGAAATTAACAATTAAAAGGTGAAAACTTCTGAAGCAGCGTTATAGAGAGAATTATAGCAACGCAGTCAAACTCCAATCATCGAGAGTGTCAGCTGAACCCAGGATGGTTACTGAGGTTGTGGCATCTCGCTGCCGCATATGAAGCTTATCAAACCAAGCACCACGCCGTACAAGGATACGTTATCAGTTGTTAGGGTACTTGTACTGCAAGTGACGACTGCGACTAGTGAGGAGTGACTGCATCCAGTAGAGGATGACATGGCGGATGACTGCGACTAGTGGCGGATGACTGCGATTAGTGGAGGATGACTGCAAACAGTGGAGGATGACTGCAAATAGTGGAGGATGACTGCAATTAGTGGAGGATGACTGCAAATAGTGGAGGATGACTGCGACTAGTGGCGGATGACTGCGATTAGAGGAGGATGACTGCAAATAGTGGAGGATGACTGCGACTAGTGGCGGATGACTGCGATTAGAGGAGCTAGGATGACCGTCTGCGACTTCTAGCGGATGACAACACGCGGAGACTTGGACGAAACAATGTTGGAAAAAAAACATGATATGTTCACCGTTAAATAACTATGCAATTATCAACGTTTTGGTGTAAATGATGGCTCAAATGTAAGAAATTTGTCTTACACATTGAAATTCATTTGCCCAACAACTTAACCAAAAATATGGATGAAATAAATACAATTTTAGATATATAGTTTATTTATAGAGTTCACAAATATTTAGCACTGATTCGTTGAACAATGCGAAGTAACGTTACAAAGCTAACGAAATAGGTAAAAAACAAGCGACGAAATAAGGTCATGAGTAATTTATAAAAATAACATCAATGAACTAAATGCAAGGAATATTTCTAATTTTCAATAACTGAAGATAAAAATGCTATGAAAATTTCGATTACGGAGTACAGCGGAATATATACGTCAGCAGATAAACATGGCAATACTGCGCAAAACGTCGTGGCTCACGTCATCTTGAAACGACATCGTGAATGACATTTAAAAGTTTTCTCCAAATACATACTGCGATTACATCGTAGTAGCAACAAAAACACTGTAACCGCATTTCAAAAAAGCTACTGCAATTTTACTTTGTTAAAATGACAATCTTGTTCCGTTATAAAATATCATATGATAATGCCCAAGATAAACAATACATTCAAAATCGGCCGCCACAGAAGCAAAGAAGTAATAAGAGAAATAATACATGTAACACATTTTTTACTGAAAGACAATTTGTAGAGAGTCACTAAAAGTGTCCTTAAGAACATCCTCAAATTCAATGCAATAACTTTAAATAAAAAAAAACGTTTAGGTGTTCAGTTCACCATTTCAATTTCGATACCAAACCGCATAGTTTGTAGTTTATTTTAATGCCAAGCAGTGAAAATTATACCAGCGCTAAAAAGACAGGAACATCACCTCCGTCACACATCTCAAGCATCAATTGTTGATTCCTCTTGTACTAAATATACAGACGTATAGTGTTTCAAACTTATGGCAGATGCGCTAACCTGCGACCGTTCATTTCAAATTACAAAGGTAGAGGGTTCTATTGTTGACTCGCATCCGTCAAGTGAAGAGAAATGTCGTCTAAATAGTTTTTCCTTCATTTTCA